ATAAATTGTGCGGGTGGAAATACATTATTTTGATGCCTTGTCCATCCTAAATACCATATATTATCACGGTCATGACATAAGCACAGCATCCTACCGTACGCCAGCCACCAATACAGTTACTGCTGCATGGCCTGTGTCAACAGTGCCAACTAAAACCGATATACAGCTTTTTGCGACGATCATGACGACTAGCGATTCTGGTCCTTACCAGTGAACAGATTTGTGCAAATATAGTGATTGTTCTATTACTATTATTAGTACATACTTCTTTACAGTACCTATGCCCCGGTAAATCTCATTTGCTCGCCATAGTATGAGTGAGCTTGCTTAAGTTAATGTCACAAGCAATCAATATTAAATCACTTATCTATATTTATACCAGGGAATTCTCTTATATCTCATTATTAACAGTAATGTTTTGAAAATCTGCTTCACAAGTAGTGTTTGTATTCCATGTATGTGATTGTTACCTTAAAAATGATGTGGCACAGTGATGACACATACATTTACATGACCAATAATTGGCTCAAATCTTGTTGTATGTCGCATTTCATTCCAAGCATTTGTCCTACATGCATGGCACACTAGACTATCACTGGAAACTTATACCTACAAGAAAAGATGAGAGCAGTTATAAAATCAGCACATAAAGTACTTTTAAAATACTATTAAGTAGTAAGAGATTTTAAATATATATGATTATTAATTACCTGGCTAATCCATCGTTGTATAAGATTTCGAACTTCAGTGATTTCCAAAGTATGTCTTCGAATTCTAGATACATTCAAACCGCAGTATAAACAACGTAGATCACCACTCACAGCAGTAGATGACTGTTGTGAACAACTAGGTCCAGAGTAAATGCCGGGTTCGTCGTCGGTCGAAGCGTGTACGGTGTAATACCAAATCAACATTGTCGATACTAAGTCCAGACTGAATGCCGGGTTCGTAAACCAAAGCGTGTAATACTAAATCCAATTTATCACCAGTGTCGTCATGAGTAGCAGGAGCAGAATCCATAATCAGGCTGTAGTCGTCAAGGATAGGAGAATCCTCAAAGTTAATGAGTGAAAGTAGTCAATTTAAACCACGATTAGTATACAGATACACAAGTCGTAAGTAAACAAACAAGCAATGATTTTGACATTAACTTTTTCCGGCGGCTTGTCAAAAGTTGAATTGATGTTGCCATAAGAAGAAAAAATCGATAGATCGATTATATTATTATTTCACAAAAAAATTGTTCTTTATTGGAAATAATATTAGTTTCCATTACATGATATTCATTAATTCATTTTCTTTTCGGAAAAATATCTGTTTATTAAAAATAATATCACTATTATTGTTCCGATTCATTCTTGGTAGTTTTTTTTTTGTAAAGGCAACATCTTGAAAATATTTTTATGTTTCCTAAGATTAGTCATTTTCATATCTATTTAATGTTTTTGAAAAAATATCCCATCATGCACAGACTTATGAATATATGCAAGACATGACTAAAATAACAAGGTATTTTTCTACTGAAACCAATTTGTTGTGCAGCTCTGGGCCTAAAATTGGCATTCCCCTTTAGGGCTTCGGAGTTATCTACTGGAGTTCCCAAGTAACATCAAACTTGTTTTGCAGAATTGTGAAGTACTTGTAGAATCTATTCTTATTCGTGTTAGTCGTGATGATGATGATGATGATTTCCATCAGCATCGTCAGATTGGAAAACTCTAAACAGCAAAGAAAGTCCTTTTAATAAATTGTGCAGGAAATCTCATGCTCTTCTAAAGTGTCGATTGTAAAGAAGTAATTTAGATTACAACAAAAAAATAATCCTGGGACAACAACGTACCTTATTTTTTTAGTAAGTAGTTTTCGGAGATCTTTTGATCTTAAATCGTACTTAATAGATGTTCATTGCCGTCTTGTTAGCACACATTGTATCGACTTAGGTACATTAAAAATTCGCCTCATTTGTGTATAGTTTTTGTTTTGTTCTGTTTTGCTGTCGGAATGGTGCGTAATGCTACTATCTAGTAAGAAAGACCCCTCAAGGATTATAATATACAAATGCTATAATCTAGCCCGAGAGATGTAAATTCCATTGTAATTTATAAGGTCACTCCAATGTCCAACTAGTCAGAAATTAACTTTGAAACGAGAAAATGAAACGCCCAGCTCCCTGATCTAACTACACACCATAATAAAATCATGCATAGTCCCAATTCACAGTCCCACAGAAAACAAGCAAGCCATAATAACGATTATTACCGAAAAATCGAACCTCAGCATGGCCACTTAGACCATCAATAAAGCCAGAACCATACTCGTCAGCATATCTCCCCTTACGGTTTAATAAACAAAAAAAAAGTGAAATCGTGACATTTCCCTTCAACATTTAGGCACCTAAACCGTTTGCAAACAGCATTGAGAACGGGACGCGAGTAAATGAACGAGGGGGGGTCGTGGAAGGGGGGGTCCTAAACAAAAGGTGCGAGCCCCCCGCCAGCCACCACAACGACCCGAGCGGTGGGGTGGTAGGTACGGTGACCATGATCCGCATTTTTGTGGGATAAAATACGACGTTGAATTTTTGTGGTTAAGAAAATTTTGTTTAACGATTGGAATTCTAGATTTTTAGAACTAATCTTATGGCTTTCTTTTTCTTTTATCAAATTTACTGAGGAAGTGTATAATTTCCAGTTTGTAGAATGATCAGTAAGTCAGTTTTTTCAGTTCTTTTTACCTATTCAATTATCGTATTTGTCAAAAAAAAATACAGAATTATGTCCTTTTCTCTGTACTTCTTTTCGTTTTGAATATTTAGCTAATGTTCATTCAAGATGGTCTAGAAAGTTTCTAGAGTTTTATGTTTATACTTTAAAGTTTACAACTAGTAGGTAGTACTTAAATGTTAAAAAAAAACTAATATTATTTCTCTCTGATACCAGCTGATACTTCTTCGCTGCACAATAATAATACAAGGATTATAACAAAATTCGTAACGCATGCAGCCCCTACGTCCGGGGTGGTTGTGCTTTTTCGCGGCGCGTGTCACTTCGGAGGGTCGGGCGCGGCCGCCGACACTGCGGGCGTCGGGATCCCGCGTCCGGGCGCCGTCGCCATGGCAACGACACCGCGACACCACACCCACCCTCGCCCACCCCGAGCCAGGCCAAAGTAACCCCTAACACAACAACATACGAGCCATTGCTCACTTATATACCGTAGACACATAAAGTAGGGTGGAATGAGTATATAAGAAGGCACGGTCAGGCGATGTAAATAACGCGAGATAACTTCGAGAGGGTCTAATGGAATAGGGAATCGTGTTTTGGAAAGTGCCCCGGAGAGAATGTTCTGGGTTGTTACTCACGATAAGGGCCACCATCCCTGTTAAGTGAAAGTCGATATAGGATTAACTTGGCCAAATTTGATTACACGGCCGTTTCGTATAGTTGATGAGTTGAGGCCGCACTTTAAATATTTTACTCGTGTTTTACTGTTATTTAATACAATTTAGGGATAGGTAAGTAATAACTATGGATTGTAGTCCGCTATTAGGGGATTAACGTTAAAGTACCTTTTAACTTTGATATTCATTAGTAGACTATACTGACTACTAGCTGACTGAGTACTAACTGCTAATCGCATTTGGTTCTATACATAATGTCAATATGTGTGACCTTTGAATACCTAAGTTATAGCACTAGAGCGAACCTACAAGTATTATTTAACCTGCTTTACAAATACTTTTAAGACGCTATCTTTTTTCATGAACTTCCTAAGGAGATCTTATTTATCGGATATTAAATACTTATAGCAAAAAGTTTTGCTAACTTCTGACGTTAGCAATATACAATTAAGTAGTTTCGATAGACCAAGAATTATTTTGAAATTTCACATAGCAATGATAATGTGACGATGTAGGTACCTACTTGTTTTTATTCTATTTTTCGGTAGTTTTGTAAAGAGTTAGGTACTTACGCTGTTGGCGCTCTTATAAAATGACGTCATAACTTACGATCCAACTTTTATAGTAATGATATTTTAAGTAATGATACTGACAAGTTGTTAACTACATACCGTATTAGATTCGTTTCTAGTATAACCAATTCGATAGTAAGTACACTATCGAATTGGCTTGTTTCTTAAGTCAAAAATAAATTATTTTGACTTTTCACTAACTACAACTATAAAAATATAATCTTACACACATATTTTTTGTGAACTTTTAGGGATAAGTTGATACGCCATATGCCACACTTGACAAGCCCTTTTATTTGTCTTCGTATTTTCTTGTTCTTTCATCAGTTTAACTAGGGTACACAGGGCCGGTCCTAGGTCTAGGTGTGGACTGAGCCTCGTCTCTGTGGGTGCGCCAAAATAAACCGAAACGTGAAACAAAAGACGCTCGACAAAGCATAATATTTATTTATTCTTTAATGTACCTACATATAATGATAAGTAAAGGTATATAAAGCGGACTAAATGCCATAATTGTGGCATTGTCTTCTAGGAAACCTTTGGGTCAGGAAGGAAATCTTGTACCATATAAATATGATATACGTCCCGAGTTTTCCTCTATGATTTTATTATTTCTGTTTTAATGTGATTGGATCAAATCCATGTTAATATAAATTGAATAAATATAATAAATAGACACTGTAGGAACATCTAGGTACTCACCAGACCTCTGAGATATACCTCTCCGAAATTTCTTGTTAACAATATTTTTTTATGATATAGGCCTTCAAACGAGCTGACAGTTTCTCCGATATGGTAAGCAATCAAAAAAATAAAATTATAATCTTGTAAGAGCTGATTTTTCAATATTTAGATAAAAGTTACCTGGGGATCAATTATGATGCTATCGCGTCAGAATGTTTGTATAAGACAGTGACAGCAACAATTTTATTCCTCAGATAACATTTATCTGACTATTAAAAAATCAGCCCTAAGTTACCTATTTCATTTTAAACGAGAAATCGTCGTGGAAATAAAACAAGAAATAGTTTAAAACACTTTTATTTTTATTCTTAGCTAAAAACTTTTTTAATATCTAGAATAATTTACATCTAACACAAATCTCCCAAATAAGTTCTATAAGAGAAAATTTCTTACTGACTAAAACCCCTCCATTCCTTCTCCTACTCTAGGCCGAGGTCGCGGTGCCTTGTCCTGCAACCCCTTTTAAACATCAGCCTTATAAGGCCCCGTCTGAGGTGGTCTGTGGGCACTAACCAATAGGTTAAAGTAATCATTAAATATCTCTTAATACGTTGCTGACCTTGTGAATTACGTACAGAAACTTAATAAACTAATAAATCAATACATTTAGTGACCATTTCTTCTTTGTATAAGAAGATGCTTTTGCCGATTAATGTGACAATTGCAGGCTTACGGTGATGATGTAACCATTTTGCGATGATGCCAAAATACTGAATAGAATTGTTATGGCCACAGCAGTTCCTATTAATGTTCTACGGTGTAATATCTCTTCACTGTTTTGTCCAGTCCATCTGCAGTCGTAGTCTGAAAAATAAATATGTAGTGCTTATTAATTACTAAAGTTATACGTACTTTGTATGATTATTTAGACACCACTGACATACGCTGAAGGTTAACGTCGTGAAGAAACCTGGACTTATAATTTCTTATTATAAGTTTGAAATCGCTAACCCGCATTGAGCAAGCGTGGTGATTATGTGGTGTTTTTAGTAAGTAAGAGACTGATACTCCCTCTCGTTTCAACCCGGGCGAGTTATTTTTAATATTTTTTAATATAAAACGTTGCCCCAAACTAAGATTTTCTCCTGTGTCGTGGGTGCGGTTACAAACATGCAATTTCACATACACATAACACCAAGACCCGGAACAACAATTTGTGGATCACACAAAGAGTTGTTCCGTGCGGGAATCGAACCCGCGACACGTTGCACGGCAGCCAGTTGCCCAGCCACCGCACCAACCGTGAAATCATTTGAAGATTTTTCTCCCTTTAAAAAAAAGGATATAGATTACCACTTACCACTGTCATTTTATCGATATAAAACTCTCGCTCGTGTCTCGACACTTTCCCATTGCCAGCTGTCTGTGTGTGTATCATTTTGTTGCCTTCAAATACTATTAACGCCTTCACCTGAAAAAATATTAATATAAATATAGTAGGTCGCCGATTTTCTGAGTGAATTAGGGTCAGTGTAGATTCGGGTAGTAGAAAAATAATATAAAATTAATTAATTTGTCATCAAAAATGAATCATATCGCTCGCTTAAATATCACGTCAAAGTAAGTTTTTTTTTCTAGATTTTTATTTAGGTGCTTTTGTCCTAAAGTATATGATCGTACCTTATAACAATTAAAAATACTTATAGTAAGTTGCAACCCCATCAGGTTAACAAAATAGGTTTCGAAAAACAAAAATTGCATTTTGTTACGCTTGGGACCGATTCGGGTAATAAGCAATTCGTCAATCAACAATTGGTGTTTCAATGTATTACTTAAAATAGAAAAATAATTAGACTTAAGAAATTTTAATTTCATTCAATTTAGAATATAGCTATTATGTAACAATAACTCACGTATCATTACATTATATGAGATTCATAAATATATATCCATAAATGGCGATAATGTATTTAAAAAAAACGTTCCAAGTACCCCCCCTGCCTTTTCCCCTGGGAAAATAATGCAGACCTCTGCATTGTCATAAAATGCCAATCAAAATTATACCAAATTTTAACAATATTTTAAATATTTGTTTAAAATCAGAATGTGATCTGATAATGCCGAATTCGACTAATTTAGTTTCATATATCCGTATACTTCATAATTAATTATATGTCTAGTAATTAATCAGCTCTTTGATAATATCGTAACTAAGCCTTGACGTATGTACATTGATAATATTATTATACAAAATGACGTTTTGTATATTCCCCTAAAATGCATTTACAAGCAGACAACAATATTTAAGTTATTTGCTGTCATATTAATTCAAACTAATATTATAAATGCGAAAGTAATTCTGTCTGTCTGTCTGTCTGTCTGTCTTTTCTTCACGCCTAAACTATTGAACCGATTTCTGTAAAATTTTGTACAGACAAATAGTTTGGAACTCGAGAGAGGACAAAGGATAGTTTTTATACCAAAAATCTGCAGGAAGTCACTATTCCACGCAAGCGGAATCGCGGCCAAAAGCTAATATGTTATATTTACTTATGTCACCTGCCACTTCCATCTCTTCATCACCTAAAGGCTTTACGTACATATGATTGTTTAAAGTTTATAATAAACTACCTTCTACCCGCGGCTTCGCCTGCATTGGATGTTGATAAAAAGCAAGCCTCTGTTTTAAACCAGAGTATCACCTATCTAAATACCAAATTTTAAACAAATCGGTTCAACCATTTTTGCTTGCGAAATAATAACAAACATACATCCATACTTTCTAACGAACTTTCACATTTATAATATTAGTAGGAATTAGGATAAATTTAATCCCACTTAATTACTCACGCTCTGCATTACAGAAGAACATTTCTCTGCATTAGGCTAAAGAGAAAGAAAAATGCAATAGTTCAGTGGGAATATACTGCAGTTTTAGTACAAAATGGCGTAATGCCTTGATATTCCTTGTATCGCTACCAAGACTCTGTGATGGACAGTCGCGTTGATAACCGTCACCGATGCGCCATTTGTAACCTAGTTCATTTATCAGCTGGTTATAAATAAAGGTATACCTTGACACCATCCGCCTTTACTTCTTCAAACTCCTCGCCAGGCTTGAAGGTGATGCTGGAGTTAGCCACGGTCGAAAGAAACTGGAAGGTGTAGGTGCCATCTTCGTTTTTTAACAAAACATGAGACTGGTTTAGCCTGAGCGCTACTTTTCGAGCGATGTAACTCAAACCTGGAACAGAATTATTATGAGTATTATCATTTAAAACTTTAATTAGTCCACTGCTGAACATAGGTATAGGAGAGCCATACTTCGGCACGAATGGGTTGGCTCGACTGGAATGATACCACAGCCTCACAAAAAACTGGCGTGAAACAACCACAAGGCTGTGATTAGCCGTATGAGTAAAGTTGCCCGAGGTCTCTTTCCTCTCCCCCAATCTTTAAATCTCCCAAACTCTGATCACCAAAAGATTAGCAACGTACTCGTAACTCCTCCGTGGTTGCAGGTGTCCATGGAAGCTGATTGCTTACCATCAGGTAATCCGTCGTCGTTTACCGTCCTGTCATGTAAAAATAAAAACTGAATCTCCAACTTTCCGAAACGCACTGCAACGGGCCTTTTAAAGTTTTACACGAAGTCTCCTTTCAACTCTTTTGTGATCTTTGTACCGCTTGCCTAGTAAACAAATAATTTGGCTGACTGCACATACAACTTGTATACCTATAATACATACCTATAATAATATATAGTATAACTTTGTTAATCAACTCATTTTGATCTGAATAAAATATTTTGAACTAAGATATTAATGTTTATTGTTTTTATATTCGAATACAATACTTATATATTAAATAAATCATTACATGTATCATAACCAATAACCTTCTTATACACAAATGACAAATTAATTACATTTTAAACAAATCTTCACGGTAAGTGATCATGGCAAAGCAGAAAAAGATAAATACAAAATTGTAAGTATATGAAAAAATATTCTTTTTCACTTAAAGAAACAAATCGAAAATTACTTACTACGAAACTTAATACGAAAGAACTATAATCATTTTATAAAAAACTAGCTACTTATTCTCGCGCCGTTTCACTCTCTAGACACAATAAAATTTATATAAAAAAAATACAAAATACTCTCTTTCACTTACTTCACAAAAGAAACACGCTCCGTACTATTTCATCACACTAAACAATGACCTAAAACTCACCTAGATACACTAAATAGTCTTCAAAGTTCTCCGAATCGGTTAGAACATACTTTTTACCTAAAAACTCGTCCATTTCTGACGGTAAAAAAACACGTTTGGCATAAGTAGCGACGCGCACGTGTTCTTATCACTGATAACGTATCACTATCACCCTCTTATCTATTAGTTGCCTTCGTAATAACTTCGTGATGTATAAATAAATAAATAAATAGATAAATATATGTTTTGATAGTACTCATCATCTCATTAGAATTCTTTGAAAAACTTTCTTGTCACCTAAAAAGAAAAATTTGTAATGTTTTGCTATTAGGTATATTCACTAAGGCTGAAGAAGTTTGAATAAATTAAGAAAAAATATTGTCAATTTTTTTTTAAACTTGGTCGGCCTAATTACAAAACAAGGTTTTACTTTAGTCTAGGACTAAACCATTGAGCCAATTTTTGTATTTCGAATTGAAGGTAGATGACAATAAGATTCAAAATTCAAAACCCGACTTAATGTTTTAAACCTGGACTAAAGATAAATCTTGTTTTGTAATATGTTGCCTCACTTAAATTTGCGTGCGTTTACAAATGAAAGAGATGAGAATATTATAGTATACTACATGCATATTCGATACTAGACCCCGATCAACAACAATTTGTCAATCACACAAAGAGTTGTTCACTACCGACGCTAACTGTGCATTTTAGAGATTATTTTTCGTAATAATGATTTACGAATATTGTTATATTTCATTAACATCTTTTGATACAGTAGTTTAAATTTATTTTAATGTGTTTGATCAAACGTTACGTACATTTTTAATGGTCTAAAATCAAATTTTCCTAAACTGATTTGCTCACTTACGTGCTTTTGTAACATAAATCTGAGTAAACAAGCCTTATGTTCTTTCAATTACAGGGAACCTTATCATGCATCTAGTTTTTCACATATAAATTGAGGTGTAAAAGTGCCGTTTTATGACCTACTTTTTTGCAAAAATAAATTCACTGTTTCATTGCAAATAATACCTAATAACATTGAGAAATTGCACTTAAAATTGAAAATGATGAATTATCTATGTTACAGGAGAGAAGAACATTTATTTCAAACCCGAAGAAAATGGTGAAAGCAGTTCATCGAGCGTACGTCAGGATAAAACTCCGTACACACAGATATCGGAAGAAGGTGAGTTAAAAACTAAAGTTTTATCAAAATCGGTTCAGATGTTTTTGAAAATGTAACTCGAACAGAAACACTCATAGCTGTGCAGTCTTCTTTTCTTTGAAAAAATGAAGTTCAAACATTTTCACATACAAATCACACCCAGACCCGGAACAATTGTTTCGTGCGGGAATAATTGTTTATAAAACCGTGCAGTCGTTATCGAAAGATTGTTTTCGCCTCTGTTGCCAAGGCAAAAAATAATCTTTCACTAGCCTTCTATCCAATAACCGTTAAGGAAATTGAGACAAACAAACAAGAAATACACCTTTACATTTAAAATATTAGCAAGGATTATTAAGAATATCTACTACACCCGCTTCAAGCGATGTCAACTAACATTTAAAAGCCTTATTAATCATCATTGTCATCCATCTTAACCCTCAACAACGCCGATTACATTAATACCTATATTAAAAAACTAATCCATATAACAATGACTCAGCAAATAGGAACAGATGTAACTTACGTAACCCTTCATTCAAGTGTTTCTGACGCTGCGAAGGGGTCTTGAATATCCCAGTATTTTAATCTGTCACTCAGTGACGTAATAACGGTAATGGCGCCCAGACGCCATGATGAGTCGTCGCCATCTTGGATAGGATTGTATTGTATTATTCAATTACGCATGGAGTTGGTAGTGTTTTGTTTATTTAGTTACTTAACTAGCTTTGTTTTTGTTTTCTTTTACATAATAGTTACTTTTTCTGAAAGATTGTATAAAAATTATCTCGCGTTTTTACAGTACAATTTTAAACTTTCGCCTTGGAAAGAATAGGACTGCGCGGCGTCAGGGTATTAAAAAAAAAATAACGCCTAATACCTAGTTAGTAAAAAGTCAATCAGAGAAAGATCACACTTACCATAACCAATTCTACTCATATTATTAACACGAAAGTTTAAAAGTATGGATGGATATTTGTGAAACGTAAAAAACTAATGAATGAAATTAGATGAAAATCAGAACAAAGATAAATATAGTCTTGAGTAACACATACTAGGATTACTTTTACCGCTGGCAAAACTTAGTGCACTATAAAATAACATTTTAACAGAAACATCAATGATTCTCATTTCTTTACTTCTTCTATACCTAATCTTCACTATTTTATTAAATCAAAACAGAACAGTCAAGCAAACAAGCAGATTACAGCACTAATTAGCTAGACGGTACCTCTAAGCTAAACCCCGTCTTGGCTCGGCTCCGGTAATAGTATTCAGGAAATGTCACAGCTATCACATAGCTCCACGATCCGAGCTTTGTATTGCACTGCATTATAAGCAACGCTTGCTACATATTTAGATGACGCGTCGCCATGTGACGTCAGTGGAAATTGTAATAGAAAAATATTTTTATCCATACGAATATTATAAAGAGGTAAAATTTGTAAGTTTGTATTTAGGGGGTCATCTTTGGAACCGCTAGTCGGATTCCCAAAATTCTTTCATTTATTGATAGCTACAATGTTCCCGGGTGCTATAGGCTATAAAAAATCACGAAATGGAGCCGAGCAGCAAGTGAAAACGCGTGGGAGTAGCGAGTACAAAATATACTGATTGCATTATCTATCATTGAAGATTAGGTGTAATGAAAAGAAAGTCCAAATATTTTGGACAATTTGTCGTTATGTTTTTTTGGTTCGTTAGTAAAAAAATAGATATAGTATATAGTACCTAAGTATATAAATTGATAATGATAATACTTTCAATATCAGACTTAAAAATATCCTTTGTGTTCAATCTAGACTATAGACGGTATCCATCCATACTTCCAAACTTTTACTACGACGAATTAATAACTTACGACGAAAATTATTAGGTATGTATGCGTATTAGTAATATGATTTGCACGTACTAATACAACTTTTCGCCGAATAAACATGTGGTCTTAGCCTATAAGTAATTGTTGCACTTGTATATTTAGGCTAACCTAAATTAATAAAAAAAACTCTACGAATACAACCAAGACTAGGAATAATAGGTATTTTTATCATTCCCACCCCACAAAACAATGTCCCATGACGTAGCGTATACTAAGTCTACTCCTTAATTCCGTAACAATGAACATACTATGCAATGACTAATGAAAGCTGATTACAAACGTACACACATACATACATATATACATACATGCCTTCACGTAAACACGTCATGAGAAATAATTATCTTCCTTACTAGAGATAGAGATCTCAATCGTACCGCCTATACTAACTACACATAAATATAAATATTCATGTTTCTATTGTAAGAGACATTTTGCGTCATAATCTACATTCTATCTAGTGTTGGGAATAAAAATGTACTTTACACTTTTTCCTAATCTTCCCCTCTACTTTTCTAATCATTTCTTTGATAAGAACTTTCTCCTGACAATAACAAACACAACAAAAAAAAAATAGCAAAATTGGTCCAGGCGTTATTGAGTTATGCGCTTACCAACATATTTTGCGATTCATTTTTATATATATATATAGATTTATTGCATTTCTGTATGTACCTCCAAATTCCACTGGTGTAAGTACCTACATCACCCAGTCAGGGTGTAGCCAACTAATTAAAAATTTAATTATCCGATAGCTTGGTAATGATTCTTGACATTTTGAAAACAGCATTGTTTAATGCGATAGCTTGACTAAAATATACGAATCGAGTAAAATTTACTTTAAGCCAATAGCAGTTAGAAACATTGTAGCTATCTATCAGTAAAAGATTATACGAAATCTGACCAATGCAATGGTTCCAAAGATTACCTCCTATATACAAACTTACAAAATTTTACCTGTTTATAATATAACTAGCTACTCCCCCGCGGTTTCACTCGCTGCTCGGCTCCATTTGATCGTAGCGTGATGTTTTATAGCCTAAAGCACCTAGGAATATTGTAGCTATCTATCAGTCACAGAATTTTGACCAGCGGTTCCAAAGATTACCCCCTCCACCACTAATATACAAACTTACAAATTTTACCTCTTTATAATATAGAATAGAAGTATAGATAATATAACAGATACATGACAAACAAGACCCTTAATTCTAGCGACGGTGTTGCTGCCTCTATTCTACGTCGCTAGAATTTGGAATCTTGTTTTGACAAAATTAGGTAAACCCGACGTTGGTACCTACGCAACTCCTATTACAACCAAATATTAAACCTATTCCTACGCCTCCACAGAATCACCGTGTAATCAAGTAACAATACACAAACGACCTCGGTTAGGGTCCAGGGAATACGAAGATACCGCCAAATTCTCACTACCCCATACTCCTGAAAAAGCTGCCACTACTGAAAACAACGAAAAGGCAGAAACTCCTGAAAGTATAAGGTAAATGCATGTTTTTATTCTTTGATAACTATATTATTGTGAGATACTAATTTATTGGAAATGTCGGCTTACAGTGCGGCCGACGACGTATCTTGGCGAGACTGAAGTTAGCCGTTTGCCTGCGCAATGGCCTTTTTTTTATGGAATAGTTCTGCAAACGAGCAGACGGAATACCTGATGGTAAGCAATCAGCGCCGCCAACGGAGAAGTTACGAGTGCGTTGCCGATCTTTTAGGGATAAGGGATTCGGAGACTCAGGGATTGAGGAGGGATTGGGGAAAGGGAAGGATTGGGCTTTCGGTAACCTCACTCACACGGCGAAACACAACACTGTTTCACGCTGGTTTTCTGTGAGGCCGTGGTATAACTCCGGTCGAGCCGACCCATTCGTGCCGAAGCATGGCTCTCCCACACTTTGAATCTTTTAGGAACAAAATTGTGTACTGCGCAGCGAATCGGCTAACTTCAGACTCGCCAAGATACGTCGGCCGCACACTTGAAGTGACTGAGAAAAGTTCGACTAGTTTGAAGTCACTACGGGACTCTTATTCATGAACAGAGTTCGCGCGGTGATGTCGCATTTCGAGGTTGATTTTTCTCAGTCACTTCACGACGTGAATAAGCCAAAATTAATTTTAACTGCACTAAATCAATTCTAATAAAGTAGGTTTTTATTTTTTCATTTTGAAAGGCTTACTAGAGAAAAAAGTGCTTTAACTGTGAAAGGATTATAAGGAGAAACTTATATTTTTTAATGAGCAATGTTAAATTGCATTTACCATAACAAATAGTAACAGATATTTTATGCACTAATGCGATTCATAACACATGAAGCGCTTTCTCATGTCTCTCACAAGAAATGCATTTAAAATGTTGATGTGATAACGGTATGCGTTTCGGGGTTTTTGTTGCTTGTTCATTGGTAATGGGCTGCATGTATCTGTTGCATGGCTGAGTCGAGAGAGAGAGAGAGAGAGATATCTAGGTATGACATTTTGTTATCATTTTTATTCTATAGTTGGTAAAAAGTAGTTACTCCTTCGGTGTTGCAGTTTTTTTTAGGGATTTTGGTTAAAACTAACATATCAATCCTATTCCTTATTAACTGTTTACACATAAAAACTTGTCCTAGCATGTTTGTAAATAATTACGAGGGTCGGTGCAGGGTCTACGGCACTAGTAAGTAAAACGCTTGTGCTATTTCTGATGCAGACTGTGTTGCAGTTATGATTGACTTATCATCAGGTAATCGGCCTGGTCCATTAACTATGTATAACAAAAAGATATTAGTTTTTTTGAAAGTAACCCACACTAGCATTTTCTCCTGTGTCGTGGGTGCGATTACAAACATACAATTTCACATACCCAAGACAACCAGACCCAATACAACGCCAGGGTTGGCTGTAGAAGAATTATAACCCAAATCGAATAGTGTTTCGATTTGGAGATAGAATTCGGTAATCATATGTTGAAATAAAAGTAAAGATTCTGGAATTGTAACGTGACATGTGAACTTGAAACGTGAACAGTCGGCGTCTGACGTACGGCGGTATTTCGCCCTATCACAAAATAATAATAATATAAAAAAATACTATCACCGTATCGTCTATGCCAATAGCCGGGTTTGCGGGTCATGTGCAATGAAGCATTGCGACCCTGGCCTAGAGCAGGAAAAGAAACTTGGTAGTTTTTAGCCAGTAAGTCCGACCCTCTTCTCTCTCAGAGAAGAGAAGAGGGTCGGACTTACTGGCTAAAAACTACCAAGTCTCTCTACTAGGTTATCACTTTATTTTTAAGAATGCTGGTTACCTGTAATTGGCGACTGTATAAGGCCAAAACCTAATATTTCATTGTTTTATTTAATTTGCTATATACAGAAGCTGTTGGTGTACCTTTATTAAATAAATAAATAAATAAATAAATAAATAAGAGAAAAGTAATTTGATGATTATCCCTCTTCAATAAAAATCTATGCCAATCGAGATCTGTTGTTTATATCCCTCATTAGCTTATAATGTGAGGGTAGTAATGATGAATACGTGGTAAACATGTTTTGGACCTAATTGTAATTAATTGAGAGCTCATCACATAGTCCAAAACAGGGTAATTAGCTTTAAAAAAAAGATTAATCCGAGGCATTCGCAATTTATTTAAGGAAATTAAAATAATGACAGTTGCCTCTCAATATATTATTTATAAAAATGTTATGCACACTATACATTATATTAACACGAGAGGGAAAACAACATTGAATTCGTGCAATATATTTTCTTTTTTTTATTTCTAACTCGAAAGAAATAAAAGTTTGGCATAGTTCGGCACGAATTGGTCGGCTTGACCGTAGTGATACCACGTCCTTACAGACAACCTGCGGTCAGGTTTTACCCTATGGGTGAGCTTTATATCATAATCATCACCACAACATCAGCCAAAAATAAAATGTTATTAATAAGTGCAAAAATAAAATATTATTATTTCCTACGATGACACTTCTATACAGCTATTCGTACGCTTTTTTCTTCAGCTTCTCATACAACTCATCCATCTTCATCCATTTAGCTATTTCTATTTTATTTATATTTAATATTAGGTATCGTTTACAAAATAACATAGTGGGTAGAATATATAGTAGTAATAGTTGTTGTTCTTTTAGTAAGTAGACTATCCTAACTTAGCTACATTATCACCTGCATGAAAACCGGTATAAAGGGGTAATTGGTTCCAGAAACCTTTACGACCTGGTGGAAAACCTTCGAGTCTGCACGTCCATGTTTGTTGGTTGCAGCCTCCCAACGATATACTACGGGGCCCGCACTCATACGCAGATCAAACAAGTTGTCAAAGAGTTTAAGAGGACCTCTTACTGTGGAATGGCCAAGATGACACTCCTCTCCAGCCGCGACAAGAGCTGTATTAAGGAGTTTGACAGGAGTCTCTGGAGTTCCCGAAATGATATGTGCAGGGCTTGTGTTAAGGTAAGTTTATTTTTTATTTTCCATTTACCGACTCGACCCTGCTTTTCAAGGGCGTCGCGCGCCTGTCTCAGGAAGTCTAACTACATCGCTAACGACAGAAGAGCTGCAATTTCCCAACCTTACCCTCTATTTAAAAGGACATGGCCAATTTCTGTACGGGCATTTGCATAGTTATTGAATTCAATGTACACCAATGATTTTTGGTGTTTTGTATTCGTGAATATTGTTATATTAAATTGCAATAAATAAAACACATGAAGAACTTGTCATTACAACACACTAAACGAAAATGGTTTCACTTAACCTTTAGCCAGATTACTGGCCATAAGTGCACGGAATAAGATTTGCTATTAAAAACTACTTACTGCCATAAGTTCCTTCTCTTGACAATTACAAAAACTACAAAGCATTGGTATAATTTATCCAGACGTTGTTGAGTTCTGCAATTACCAAAATATTTGCGTTTTATTTCGAAATAAATAAATGTATGAAGTGGCCATCTAGGCCACTATTTGTGTAGCCACATTATTTCGCCTGGTGGTGACGTGTGGTGAGCAATAATGCTGAATTGGTGAATGTCTTGATGTTGATTTTTGATTCTTTGAGATCGTGGCCAATCATTGAGATTAAAACTCTATGCAAGTATTTGAGGTTACGTTCACTCCCTTTTAACCCTTTTAAAGTTGCGGCTGATCAATGAACAGTACTGAACTGACATCAGTTCAGTTGTGTATTAGTCCCACTTTTATCAAGATTCAAGCATATCCTCAAGCTCTGAACAGAATTCTTAAACTGAAGAACTCACTTAAGTCAGAAATTGGCGTCTTACTCAGTCGCTACACAAAAACAAAATAACTTAAACAATAATTAAATATTAATAATTATTATAATTACTTTATCATAAAATATTGTTAAACCAGTGTTAAGCACACATTACAAATACTAACCTTAATATTCTAACTTTTCCAGCCTATAAAAACAGGTGAAAACAAAGAAAACTCAAATTGCATGTTCTACGACAACAGAACAGCTCTGACCCACAGTTGCATGCCAGCTGCATTTGATCTTGAAGACTTGGTGGAAATCGGAAGGGAGAAGGAAGCCTGCCCATACTATGGAGCGAGGGCCATGGCGAAAACCTCTCACATTGTATTCTGCCCTTACAACTATCTAATTGATCCGAGCATTCGAAGTAGTGTAAGTACCTTTAAAACGATGCTAGCGCCATCTGCCTTTATTTAATTACGAAATTTTGGTTCCCGTAAAGGACAAAAAAACACCTTTAGGTTGTATAAAATTGGGTTTTCGTTCTGGCCAATATACATATAGATAGAATTAAAAAAAATATTAATAAGTTAAGTGTTTTTTAACTTTAGAATCCAGCCAAGAAATTCTTACTTGACATAGGGCAGCTTAGAAAAATGTTTTTTTTGTATAAATATATTGCCCCACATTTGGATTTTCTTTTGTGTCATGAAGAATAAAACGGAGTTTTGAAACTTTTTCTCTTGCGCCTTTCATCCCTCTTCCTATGAATATGCAAAATAAAATCGGTTGTTTTTGAAAGAAGACATTTTAATAACATCAGCATTTTCCACACACAGCTATCAATAGACCTGAAGGGCGCAGTAGTCATTATAGACGAGGCGCACAACATCGAGGGAATATGTCGAGATGTGGCCTCTGTTGATATCACCCAGCTACAGATTCAAAACGCCATCGTGGTAAGTATATAAGTTACCGAACGATGTCCAATATGTGTGATGTTCTTCCCCACCCGAACTACAATTTGGAACGAGCACCTAGCTTAACTGATGAACAGACTGACGCACTGTTATTCCATTTTGACATTCATTGTTACCTGTAAAGGTATTACGATAAACGATTATTCTTCTTTGGATACTCAAGAAAAATAATTGTTGCGAGATTTAAAAAAAAACAACTAATTTATTTTCTTTTAAAGAGAGAGAGAGAGAGAGAGAGATAAAGATAGCTAACCTTGTCATTACAACTTTTCGACTTCTTTTTTTCATTCTACCCCCCTTTCGCAAAGCACTTTAAGGAACTTCTTTAATTTGAACCAGCAGTTCTTGAGATTACCGCGTTCAAACAAAAACAAACTCTTAAGCTTCATATTGCTTCTTACTAATATTATTAACGCGAAAGTTACGATGTTTGGATATTTGTTACTCAATCACTCTAAAACGGTCTGACCGATCTGGATGAAACGTGGCGCAAGCATAGGATACACTCCGGTATAGGACATAGGCTACTTTTTATCAGCATACACGCGGGCGAAGCCACGGGGGAAAACTAGTAATAAGTATTAGCACTAATGTTGAATGTTAATTGTGAAATGTAGGAGTTGGAGAAAGTGTCCCAGTATCGCGTGGCCAACCAGGACATTGAGTTCTACATCGATGGGTTGATTGCCACACTCAAAAATTGGGACTACTGGTAAGCGATCACTTATTTATATATTGTTTGTATATCGTGAGACGTAGTAAGTTAATTGAAAATAACGACTTTCTCGTGTGAATTAACTGAGAAAAGCTCGACTAGTTTTAAGTCACAGCGGGACTCTTATTCGTGAGCAGCGTATTGTTAATGAATAGTTTTCACATATAAAAATATGCTGTTTACACTAGAACTAAGTCAAGTTTCCGACGGCGGGGATGGCGCGCCATACGGAACAACTCTTTGTGTGATCCACAAATTCTTGTTCTGGGTCTGGGTGAGATGTATATGCGCAATTGTATGTTTGTTTTAACCGAACCGATTTAAAAAACATCGTTTGACCACCTTATAAATCGAACTCTGAAAGACTTGTTTCACATTCACACAAGTGCTTAAGTAAGAAAATCTAATTAATAATACAAAATAAACGCAACAAAATATACACTCTAATATCCCGAACCAAAAATACAACTTTCGCTGGCAAACTTAAATAACTTGAAACGTTTTTCCTTCCTTCAGGTTTGAAAACCAGATCCCGTTAATAAACCAACAACCGGTAAACAACAACGAGGCGATATACAAATGGGAGGCTCAACCCTTCGTCAACACGCTGAACAACCATAACATTGGCTATGTGCAATACGCTGGTGAGATATATCAAAAACATGTTATAAAATAATACGACAGACAGACCGATTACCTGATGGTAAGCAATTAGTGCCGTCTTTAAACACCCCTTTTTTGTGAGGCGGAAATCATCAAATGACCTTTCCCGCCCAGCATGAGGTGGGAGGGAGTGTCAGACTCTTACTGACTAAAAACCTCTCCGTTCTTTCTCCTACTCTAGACCGAGGCCGCGGTGCCTCATTGCGCTTGTCCCGCAACCCCTTAATATTGGGGAAGTTAAAATTGCGTCACTGGACTTGAGAAGACTCTTTAAGAGTCACCCGAAGGTTAAGGAGGAGCAGAGGTGGCGATGTGTCCCAGAGTAATAGAAATGTCTGGTGATCCCCCCCTTCCTGAAAAAGAAGGTTGTAGGGTTGTAATTTGGGCCTCTACTATTAGCCAGTATTATTTTTGTGCGGTAAGGGCGGCAAACGAGCAGACGGCGACCAGTCCCATATTTTTACACCCCTCAACATTAGGGGAGTTTCAAGTGAGTTGAAGGACTTAGGGAAGAGGGGGGGAGATATTGTAGAGGCACACTGGGGACATTGTGGAGCATACGGTAGCGGTGTGTCCCACCAGGGCAGGAGAATCCATTTATTGATACTCCTCCTTCGTAAAAAGGGGGGTGGGGATGGAATTTCGGCCTTAGTATTTAACTATGTTATTTTTGTGGGTTGTGATGGTAAACAATCAGTCTCTCGCTCATGCACACCAAAAGAGTTTTACGTACGTTGCCGGTCGTTTGAGGTTTCACCCCCTACAGGGCATGGTTGGTACGGCTCTGGTAACCTGGTTTCACGCCGGTTTTATGTGACGTCGTGGTATCACTCTTAGTTGTGTTAGAGAGGGCTCATTCATGCCAAAGCATAGCTTATTTATTTAAAGTTATTTTTTCTTCAGACTTCAAACGCAACTCGGAGAATTTCTGCCGCAGATTGCGCGAGGACCCGCGGACTTTGTTCGGAGTGTCGCAGGCGACTGGCACACTGCTGGAGTCTATGGAGATGGTGCTAGGTAAGATTCACTACATAGTATATAGCCCGCAGTACACATTGGCCCAAGGTATTGGAGCTACCTATTGGTCCAACGTGTGGAGGGCTACTTGGCGATATATTGGTCCGATGTTCCGGTTGGCGCCAATATTGGCGAGCAAACCGAAAGTTGTCGGTTTTTAATCCACACATCAAAGGATCTTGGCGCGCCGCTACCAGCATACCCCCAAGTAGCCCTCTACACGTTGGGCCAATAAGATGGCCCAATACCTTGGGCCAATGTGTACTGCGAGCTTATCATTTTGGACCAACATGTTGGCCCAACACCTTGGCCCCATGTGTACAGCCGGCTTAAAACAAAGTCGTTAAGTATCCCTTTACACGTTGGGCCAATAAAATGGCCCAAAACCTTGGGCCAATGTGTACTGCGAGCTTATCATTTTGGACCAACATGTTGGCCCAACACCTTGGCCCCATGTGTACAGCCGGCTTAAAACAAAGTCGTTTCCATCTGTCTGTCCCTATGTTGGCCTAGGAATCACAGATCAAAGTTCCCTGAGATCAGAAAAGAGATCAGTGTTGGGTGCTGAATGTGCCCAGGTTTTGCTAAGTTGGCGTTGGCGACTCATTCGGATTGGGCATGTCTCCTAACCCTGTGAACTACTATTAATAATCTGTTTAACTGTTTATTATTTTGATTAATCTTATCTCTTCTCATCTTTTTATTGTTCTGTTTTTCAAACCCTTTTTTTGTTTTTTTTTTTTTTTTGTTATGTTGTATATTTTTTGTTTCTTCATGTCTGATGCCGAATACAAACAGTTTTCTTCCTTTCGTCTTTCAAAAGGAGGATCCTTTGCACGCGAAGTGATACTGCCCCACAATTGTACCTAAGTTTGGATTTTCCATGCGTCTGTAATTGTGCTTAAGGGGTTTTGATGATTTAGGGATTGGGGTGGGATGGAATAAAGGGGCTGATTGCGTGTCTTTCATCTTTTAAACTACACAATAGATTTTGATGCGGTTTTTTAATGTTTCAAGATTCAGGTTTATGCACGTATAGGCTGATGATTGAATTTGCTGTGTGTCAGGATTCCTGTTCCGCGACCACTGCCAGCATATGGACGACTTCAAGCCGGCCCTCATCAAGCATGTCTCCGGTAAGACTAGCGCGCCCTCTGCCAACACTGGCTGGAGAACTTCGCAGTTTAACAATGTAAGTACCTATATATAGTTAAAGTAATGTTTATTACGTTTTACAGGTCACTGAGGTTAATGAATGCTCTATCTCCACCCCCAACCCCCCATCTCCAGCCCCCCTATCCTTAACCCCTCCCCCTCCCCATCTCCAATCCTCCTATTCTAAAACCTCCCTCCCTGCCCAATAGGGTGGCAATGTACTTGGAAATTCTTCCATGTTGTTAGCGTCCATGGGCGGCGCCGATTGCTTACCCCGTCTTCTCGTTTGCCGCCCTATCCTATGATAAAGGGATTTAAATCAAATAGGAATAAGTGTTTTATAATAAAATACTTATTAATACAATTTTTATTATTGTTTCATGCTACTCAGGATGAAGAGAATGTAAGTTTTTAATTGTCATAATTCATGTTGGTTCACTATTATATGTAGTTTGCTAACACAAATTTGTGCACATTCGACCTAAGTTAATTAAGTTAAGTATTGTGTAATTATTTTTATTATTAATAATAATTAAGTTATAGTTGTGAGGCAAGCGCAATAAGGCTCCGTAGACTCGGCCTGGGGTAGGAGAAGGAACGGAGGGCTTTTTTAGTCAGTAAGAGTCCGACATTCCCTCTTGCCTCGCCCAGCACGTCGATTCTATAAAATTTGTTTGTTTTTATAATAACTATCGTGAGACATACTAAATTAACTAAAATTCGCGGGTTACTCACGTGTAAATGTTGAGAAAAGCTCTACTAGTTTCGAACCACAGAGGGGTTCTTCCTCATGAGCAGCGCCTACTGACCTACCGTAGGCTGCGCGACGTCGCCGCGTCCGCGCACGCTGCTCATGAGGAAGAACCCCTCTGTGGTTCGAAACTAGTAGAGCTTTTCTCAACATTTACACGTGAGTAACCCGCGAATTTTAGTTAAAATTTGTTTGGTTTCGAATCGTGTTCGAGTGCGAAGTGAGCTTCGAAGTGACGGGGAAATTAAATTTTAGAATGTCACTTTTAACGTCATCTCATACTTTATCTTTCAAAATGATGCTGTCAATTTAGTTCAACTCGCAAGTGTAGCGCTAGTGTACTACTACTCACGGCGGATTCAGATTCGAAGTTTAGAATGTAGTCTTACAGAATCACACTGCTGGACGGGAGAAAATTTTTGATGATTTTCCACACTCTAAAAAAGCACATACCCAACTCTGAACTAGATACTAACTGCTATACCTAAACACTAATAGGATAATTGGGACAGCTACTCAAATTCAATGCCTTCTTCAATGTGTCAAAATAGAGAGTTTTTTTGTTAATTTTGTACAGTATTCTGTAGAATGACGTCACGTTTTTTTTTCAAGATTTAAAAAAGAAGAACAAATCATATCGTAAATTGTTTACATGGTGTGATTTTTTTTATTGGTTTTTCTTGGATAAATTTTGCAATTTTTTTTGTTTAAGTGCACAAAACACTTAGCAGTCAAATGCATATTATATTGTAAATACACTGTTTAGATGTAGATCTTAATGTAACTAATAGTGCACATAGAAAAACAATAAGCTTACACAAAATATGTCTCTGGTTCATAAATAATAACTAAAATATGATTTAGATTTGTAAGCTTCTTGCAGAGTTTGAACCATCCTAACCCGGCCTACTATGAAATATATATTTTAAAATTTTTAACATATCTTTTATAGTTACAATCAAATACGTCTAGTGATATATAAGTAATACGCCTAGTGATATAAAAGTAGAAAACATATTTTTTTATTTCCCTACACATTTCACAAAAATAATTTCGAAAAAATGTAACACAAAAAATATTGACTGGAAACATCGGAAACATCCTTTGTACATTGCAATAAGAATTGACGAAAAAAAATAGATTTTCGAGGTTTTTAGAGGTATGAGAGAACAGTGTGTAAAGTTCCTCTTCCTCCATTGAAAAGGGAGGTTCCTTCGACCAGACGGGTGTTATGTCTGGTAGGCTACTGTCCGACGGTTGTTTTCGGGATTTTTGTATCGGTTCTAAATGCGTTGAGAACTTTTATACCGCGATGTAGGACGTGATTGGTGTATCTTGCACGTGGTTGGTGCTGTTGCTACATGATTTGCGATAGATGTCGCTATACGTTTTTAAACACAATCATCATCATCATCATCAGCCTATAAGTGCCCACTGCTGAGCAAAGGCCTCTTCTCACACGAAGAAAGTTTGAGCATTAGTCACCACGCTTGCTCAATGCGGGTTGGCGATTTCAAACTTATGATTAGAAATTATAAGTCCAGCTTTCCTCATGATGTTCACCATTTTTTTATGTTTTAAACACAATACTTATAGGTAATGTTAATATTATAACTATTTTTTTCCTTTATTCTCCTTACAGTGGGTGACGAAGGAGACTCTTACTCTATCCCTGATCTGCATGAACTCCGGCATAGTGATGCAGGAGCTGCAGTCAGCTCGATGCATCGCGCTGGCCTCCGGCACCCTCACACCCCTCATCAGCCTGCACTCCGAGCTGGAGACCACGTTCCCTCATAGAGTGTCCCCCAACCATGTCATACCGGAGGATAGGGTGAGTCTACCCTCTTTTTTATGTGATAGGTCAGCAAAGGAGCAGATCGATTACCTGATGGTAAGCAATCAGCGCCGCCCATGGAATAGAGAAGTTGCGTGTGCGTTGCCGACCTTTTGGGGATTTGGAGATTAAGGGATAGGAGGAGGGGAAGGATTGGGCCTCTCTTCTTAAATAATTTATTCTGATAAGATTCAAGAGTGCCGTAATGTAAATTTTTACTACACTTTTATTGCTTAGGTCAATAAACAAACGAATTAAGTAATGGTTAGCAATCACCATTTTATGGTAGTCATTTTAGCCCATAGGTTAAGGCGCCCGCCTTTCATACATGATGGTGCGGGTTTGATACCTAGCAAGTACCAATGTGACTTTTTACTGCGTATAATTGCCCATTGTTAACTTTGACTACACGGTTGGTACGGTGGCTGGGCAACTTGTCGCGGGTTCGATCCGGGAACAATTCTTCGTGTGATCCACAAACTGTTGTTTTGAGTTTGGGTGTGATGTGTATGTGAAATTGTATGTTTGTAACTGCACCCACGACACAGAAGAAAATTTTTATGTAGGACAGCTTTTATAAAAATAAATAACTACATGTAATAAATAAATAACTACGCGACATTTGCTCATGAGGAAGAACCCCTCTGTGGTTCGAAACTAGTCGAGCTTTTCTCGATATTATAGACGTGAGTAACCCGTGATTTTTAATTAATTTAACTACGTGATTGTTGTCCCTAGGTATGGATAGGCACGTTGGTGGGTGACGCGGAGGGCGAGGTGTGCTATAACGCGGGCGGGGCGCGGTCAGTCCGCGGGCGGCGCGCGCTGGGCGCGGCCGTGCTGCGCGTGTGTCGCGCCGCGCCGCACGGCGTGCTCTGCTTCCTGCCCTCCTACTCGCTGCTCGACACGCTCGTCGCTGAGTCAGTCACTCACATACATTATTTATTTGTTTATTAAGCTTTATGCCCCCAAATTTTTGTACATAAGCGGACCTAATGCCGTAGGCATTATCTACCAGTCTGACCTTTGGGTGATGCAGAGATGAGTAAAAACCTTACCTCTACATACTCTACACAAAACCTGTTAATACCCCTTAAAAATACCACCACATTATTATTATTTTTTGGCATACGTCGGCAAACTAGCTGACGGCTTATCTGATGGTAAGCAATCGCTATCGACGCCGCCCATGGACACCCGCAACACCAAAGGAGTTACCAGTGTGTTGCCAGCCTTTTGGGGATTAGGGAATACCAACGATTGTAGGACATTTTAATACGCATAACGACTCAGCCCGCGTAACAAAAACCGATTCCAGTAGAGCAAGTTTTTAAGTTTTCTAGTAAAGACTAGACTTTTAAAAAGCTAATAAACAAGTTAACTATTATTATTACCATATTCTAGATGGCAGGACACAGGAGTGTGGCACGAGCTAAACCAGCTGAAGAACGTCTTCTGCGAGCGACGGAGTGACAGGGACCATGAGGAGACTATGAATGTTCGTATATTATTATATAATTTGGATGTAGGTACCTGATGGTAAGCAAGTAGTGTAAGTGCGTTACCGCTTTTTGAGTGATTGGTGATTTTAAGAATCAAAGGGAGTTTGAAATTTGTGATTTTGCTCACACCGGTTTTCTGTGAGGTCGTGGTATTATTTCGTTGTCGATATGCTTTTCATGACTATGAGCCCCTTTCGTGGCTCGAAACAAATCGAGTTACTTCGACAGTTAAGTGAGTGAGCCGTCAACCGTTATTTTTGGTACAAAAGTATAACAAAAATATTACCATACAATTTAAATATTTACTAATATTATAAAGAGGTAAAATTTGTAAGTTTGTATGTTTGTATGTAGGGGGTAATCTTTGGAACCGCTGGTCGGATTGCCAAAATTCTTTCACTAATATATAGCTACAATATTCCTGAGTGCTTAGACTATAAAACATTACGCTACGATGAATAAAGATAAAATAAAGCGGGTGAAACCGCGCGAGAGTAGCTAGCATATTTTTAAGTTTCAAGTTGCCAATCCTCCTTGTGCAAGCGGTGGTGATTAATAGTCAAACTTTATCCGTGTGAGACGAATGGCGGCTTCAAAGGCTGATGATGATGATCGCCGTGTGAGCTCGACTGGAGTGATAACACCTTCATAGCGTGGAGCAACCACAGCATTGTGTGCGTTTCGCCTTGTGAGTAAGGTTACGGTTGTGCAATGTTCCCCAACCCCTCGTTTTTTTTATGTAATAGGTGTACAAACGGGCAGACGGATTACCTGATGGTAAGCAATCAGCGCCGCCCATGGACACTCGCAACGGAGGAGTCACGAGTGCGTTGCCGAACTTTTAGGGATTAGGGATTTGGAGATTTAGGGATTGAGGAGGGATTGGGGGGGGGAAGGGTTGGGCCTCCGGTAACCTCACTTACACGGCGAAACACAATGCTGTGGGTTGTTTCATGCCGGTTTTCTGTGAGGCCGTGGTATCACTCCGGTCGAGCCGACCCATTCGTGCCTTCTTATTTAATTAGTTTAGTTTAAACAATAACTGTTGTTTCCAGGACTTCTACCAAACAGTAGGTACTCCGAAAGGCGCGTTACTGTTCGCGGTGTACCGCGGCAAAGTCTCCGAGGGTATGGACTTCAAAGATCACCAGGCGAGAGCTGTCATCTGTGTAAGTACTTGTTTTATAAATAAATATATCTATGGCAGTCAGATAAAGTCTGCCGTCGTAGTCGTCTCACTGTCCTTGACTAAGCGTTTTGCCTCGTCATTTATACCGCGTACATCGAGGGATTGGAACAGTTTGCCGGCTGCAGTCTTTCCGTCCGAATATAATTTAGGTGTCTTCAAGGCTAGAGTGAATAGGCTCTCAATAAACTAGTGTGCCTTACTATCAACGATTGCATCACTGCTTACCATCAGGTGGGATCGCAGTCAAGCACAAGTAAAAAAAAAGGCGGGCGTGACGTCGCGCTATCCAGGCCGATGCCTGTCTCGGCGGTGTCGCTCGCTGCCTGCAACAGCAGGCGAGGTCCTCGAAGTAGTCGGGCCTCTAGCGGGGCCTGATGTGGTCGTGTCCAGTGGGTGGCGCCGTCATGAGCCGCGCTCGAGCCTGGGCAGGCCCGGCGAGCAGCAAGCTGTTGGCGGCGTGGGCGAGCGGGACACTCACGCGGCGTCCGAGATAAACACTGCCTTTAGTGCCAAGAAGCAACTTCAAGCAACGGGTCTCAGATTCGATTATCGGCATTATTTCCAAAAGTGTTATCGATGAAGCCCAAAAATAGTTTTGTAGAAGCTTTTTTATATAAGGGGAAATTATCAAATTGCTTCTCTCGAAAAATTAACATGTTTAAAAAACTTTCTAAAATCGTAGTATTAGTACAAATATTAAAAGGTTTTGTATGAGGGTGGTAAATCGTCAAATGACTTCTCTAGCCCTAGGTTAGGCGTGAGAGAGTGTCAGACTCTTACTGACTTAAACCCACCCAGCCCTTCTGTTCCAGGTCTGTGTTACATTATTGGTTGACCCGCAACCCGGCTAAGTTTAGTAAAGGTTTAGGGGGGCAATTTGTGATTTCATGAGATATCTAATTACATGTTTTTTTTTTTAATATTTCTTTTATTTACAATTTTCTGGTATTTCTAAGTTATTTTTTATTTAAAATGTACATGGGTGTGTATTTTTTATGCTATTTTCGAATTGGGCATTAAGCTTAGTAACTTTAGGAATCTCTAAGCCAGAGGTTCCCAAAGTTACCGGATAATAACGGGGTTATCGGGAAAGGAAAGGATCTCTTTTAGGATATTCTGTATGGCATTCGATTAGGCGTTTTAAAAGCCATATAATAAGTAATTTAGTTAGTTAAGTTAGTGTAGTTAGGTATATTTTATTCATTTATGCTATAGTATGGTTTATTTATCAAGAATAATTTCAATTTGTTAATTTCTCCTGTATCATGTTTAATTCTAAGATATACCTTACCACATCTCCAGGTGGGTGTACCATACCCGAATCTCTACGACACTGGTGTCAGCGCTAAGATGCAGTACAACGACAAATATGTCAAGGACAAAAACTTACTTAGCGGCAAGGAGTGGCTCCGAGTGCAAGCTTACAGGTAATTATTGGAAATATAACTTTACGCTTATATTTATTTATTTAAAGTTTACAATCAACCTTAGGGTGATGCAGAGAGAGTACGGTAGGTGCAACAAGAAGAGAACCTTGTGACGATACATTCAGATTTCAAAATACAACGATGACAATAATCTTTGTATGGACGCAAGCAAGAATTAGTTATATTTCGTATCGGTAGCAGGTTGGTCAAAAAATATTAATGCATATGTTAGGCATATAAAACAATATACCAAATGCAAATGAGTCACAAGTACGTTGCCGGCATTTCGAGACTTAGGCATTTGAGGATTGGGGATTTGGGGACTGGAGATTTGGGGGGTTGAGATTAGGCTATTTGAGATTTGGGGATCTGGAGATTTGGGGGTTGGGAGTGGAAGGTGAGTAATGAACCCCCACCCCCTATCTCCCCTCGTGTTACAGGTATCCGAGACTCAAAAACAAGAAACATTACCTTGATAAATACTTTTTTAACAAAACATTCCGTAATGTTCTTTTCAGAGCACTGAACCAGGCGGTAGGGCGATGCGTGCGTCACCGCGGGGACTGGGGCGCCGTACTGCTCGTGGACTGCAGGTACCGCCAGGAGTACTACACCGAGCATCTCTCCAAGTGGGTCAAGCGATTTGTAAGTACTCAAAGTAGATCGACGACAATATTTAACGGATGACGTCACATATCCTACATCACGAAAGTGAAGTTTGCACGCGTATAAACACGCATAGAAAATCCCAATGGCTAGCTACAACTGCCCTGGCTCGAGCGCGGATTATGGCGGCGTCAACCAGCAGAGACGACCACATCGGGCCCCGCAAGAGGCCCGACTACTCCAAGGCCCTCGCCTGCTGTCACAGAGGCGCGCGCGACCAAGACGTCGTATTTATAATTGTTGGGTAGTATCCCGTCAGGCTGATCATCATGCCTGATCGGAGGATCCTCCTTGTCCGGTCCGAGGGCACTTTAATCTCTGTTCCCAAACTGGCTTTGTATGCTTAGTGACGTCAGAAGCGTGGAACAGCCATGCTTCGACACGAATGGGTCGGCCGAAATAATATCATGACCTCAGGGGAGCTCAGAGACCTCATTTAACAATTTTGTCACAAACATGCGTCTCATAAGTTCAAATTATCTTTTATATTACCTATGTAAGTAGATATTTTCTTTAAAGCTCCACTTGTCCACAGCTGGGCAACAACCACCACACCTACGAGTCGCTGGCGACAAGCCCCAACGGCCTGACAGCGTTTATGCAGAAAATGAAAATTGTCGAAGAGGAAGAATCTTTAAAAAGCTGAGAAACACCTAGTGTTGTAATATTAGGGCCTAGACTTAAAACAATGTTTTTTTTTTAATCCAAAGGATAATTTTGTAATATTTTGTAGGATTATTATTAATCAATTTAAAATTAAGTGTTTAACTGTCGAAGTTTGAACAATGTATGGTATATTTTTGTATCAACGAGATCTATGTTATTATAACTGTGTATATTATGAAAATTGTAAGCATTATAATGATTTGTTTCTATGCATTGTCTTTTAATTCTTCCATTTTCTACAAACATTTAACCAGATGACTTACATTGTTTCCACGAATTACACGACATATTTCCATTATAAAATGTGAAGTCCAAAATCTTTGTCTTAATTTTCTAAATATGTTCAAGTTATACGTAACATTAAGTTGATAAAAGGTTGTGTAGATAACTCGTGTAAATGTGTTCGAAAAGGTAGGTACCTACTTAAGCTTTTAGTTGGTTAAGTGGTTGTTTAACTTCAAGGCGAAAGCTCGTAGAGGGATACAGCTTGTCTGGACAGCATATCTAAGTAGAGGAAACTTGGTCGGGTCTTCTCGTCCAAGATACCGCAAAGCATAAAGACGAAGTCTTCATTGAGTGTGTCCTACCAGTGATGACATATGGAGCCGAGACGTGGACACTTACAGTGAGACTGATCCACCAATTTAAAGTCGCGCAGCGAGCTATGTAAAGGGCTATGCTTGGAGTCTCCCTGAAGGATCGTATTTGAAACGAGGTGATCCGACAGCCTACTAAAGTCGTCGACATAGACATGGCTGGGCTACCTGCTACTACCTGCTGTGCAACGTGTCGCGGCCGGGTTCGATTCCCGCACGGAACCACACTGCGTGATCCATAGATTGTTGCTTCGGGTCTGGGTGGCTTGTGTGTGTGAATTTGTATGTATGCGGTTTGCTAATGCGGGGCAACGTTATACAAAAAAGTTTAGTTTGGATAATGAGATTTTGGGTTATTATTAATTTCTGCAAAATAGCGCCTGATCTTGTTAACTGTAGTATTACAACAATATTACCAACTCAGGCTGATAATTAATTATACAAATGAGGTGTCGTCTCAATAGCGATCAGCAACACGGGGAGCCGCGTTACGCTGTGAAATATGATTATATTTGTCAAAAATAATGTAACTTATTACATGAAGCTCTTAAATAAATAAAACACTTTTATTGTAATTACAATTGTTTTATTTCTTTAACTTTATTTTCTTAATATCACAGCTGTTAGTTTTAACCGGAACCTCCTGTATGATCAGCAACGAACAGGGCTTCTGTTTCTGTAAGCTGAAATTAAAGAAAAAAAACATTAATCAAAATATTGTAAGGGTGTCTGTTACTATATTACGACAAAACGACTGGAATCAGAATGAAATATTTCGCAAAAGTATATTATCATCTGGAATAACACATAAGATTTTTACGCTGGCGAAAGCTGCGGGCGAAGCCGCTGCCTGAAACTAGTTATTCTAGGGTACGGAATGTAAAAGTTTAAAATTTTTTATGAAATAAGAGGACTTTTGACTCTTCGCAAGTGTAACAAATTAGATCGGGTTTTATACGTTTTACTAAAAAAAAATGGAAAGAAAAAATCTAAAAACCAGTACCTATATCAATTAATTAAAGTGACATTATTTTCGAATATTAAATTGTATTTGTAAAAAAATATTTTTTGTCTCCAGAAACCAATTCTTGTAAAATTATAAGCTTAAATTATTTTTTTCATAAACAGTATTTATTTTAGTTTGCGTATGTACTAGTGTACTTTTTTCCATTTATTTAGTAAATGTTTGAACCAAAGCGTACAAGGGCCTATTAAACCTGGCTTGGGTGCCACAGGCATTCTTGTTAGCCACGTTTTAGGTAAAGAAGTAAGAACATAATCGGTGCACAAAAAGAAAGAGACAAAGGAAAAATTTTAACTTACTTCTTGGTGCAGTCGACGCCTCTCTCGTGTCGTTTAAGATGTCCAAGCTGCTGGAACTTTCGGTTGCAAATACTACAGGAGTACGGACGCTCCCCAGTGTGAGTCCTGTTTTATAAAAACGTATAAATATAATTAATTGCTATCGTATTTTTAATGGGTCAACGAGCAGACGGATAACCTGAGTAAGAAAATGCAGAGAACACGTTGGGATGGAGTCATTTACCGTCTCGAATATGGCGCTCACTTATGCATACCAACAATTAGTAACAATCCAAACAAATGCGTCAGAAAAAACTGTATATTTTTATAATAAAAAAATGATTGAAGCCACGATTAAGTATTTATTCATTCTGAGAATTTCAGTAACTATTGACTAACATGATACCTTGGAACACTGTCCTGTTGACAAGGTCCAACTTTTGCAATATCAAAATTATGTCATTAGCATTACTTTGTATGTTTGGCTAGCTAAATTTAATTACATTTTGTTTTTTCTCGCTCAGCAATAAGTTATTAATATTGAATTTATTATAAACTTGACGAATGGAGCTGTTTACTTCGTTAAAAGTAACAGTAGTACGACTTATTTTAAAAATTAATGATCAGCAAACAGCACTATTATTGGTTGTTTTAAATAAAAAATGGCAAGTCATTAATATAAACTAAAAAAGTAACGGACCCAATATCGAACCCTGCGGCACGCCCATTTTCATCTCAAGAGCCCTGTTAGTTACAACCGTTTACATGAACCTTTAGTTGTCGATCCTCTTAATTATGATAGATAGAGCGCAGTGTGTCCAATCCCGTAATGATTTTTTCAGAAAAAGTTTTGATAATCAACGACATCAAACGCTTTTGAGAGGCCGCAAAAGACACCAACAGAATACAACTAAATATTTTCTTCATTAAAATGGCACGCATCAGTTGCTGGAAGACTGAATGTATATCGAAGTGATGAAGCATCCGAGATAGCATTAACTTTTCAAACACTTTGCTAAGAACCGGCAGAACAGACACAGGCCTATAGTTATTCGGTTCCTTAGTGTCATCACTTTTGAACAATGGAATAACTTTGCCGTGTTTCATTAGGTTCAGGACGACACCGTCATATAAACTTTTATTGAACCCGATACGGCGTTATAGTTCGGATAAATGATCCGCAGACTTTTACCGATAGCCCCCAACGGGCCTCAGTAGATTAGACCTTGATTTGTTTAAAACCATTAACATGAACTATTTTGAAAAATGTCAAATCATGCAAAAAGTCAAGTCGCGTTTGCATGATTTGACTTTTTTCCTAAGCAATGTTGCAGAGAGTCTGATTGATGATTTTAAATGTGCAGTTGTTTGTAAAGTAAAAATAATTTATTTTTGAACGAGCAAACTATCCCATTGTAAACTTTTTAAGAAGTTGACTTTTTCTCATGGTTTCAAAACGTGGCAAGTACCAATGTTACTTTTACCGTACCACTGGCATAGATTTAAGGAAAAGATCGTTAAGAAACCTGTATTTATAAATTTCCCTTGACGTGCTTTGGGCAAAGCTGGTGATTAATTTTCAAACTTTCTTCGTGAGAGAAGAGGCCTTTGCTGTTGGCAGTTATACGATGTTATGTGATCAAATGGTAAAAAGACTTCGAGGCTTTAAGAGGCAGGTAGAAACTACATTTAGATTCAGTTAGAACCTTAGAAAAGATTAGTTTTTATGGAATTAAAAAGCACGATAGGCTAAAAATGACACAATACAGGGTTTTTTTAATTAGCTTACCTCTTGTGGACGACAAGATCGCATTTCTTGAAGAAGCTCTTCTTGCAACCTTTATAGTCACAAACATGCGGTGTCACACCGTCGTGGTCGCGAAGGAAATGATCTCTTAACTAGAACAATAAAGTCAAAACTGTATATCAAGGCACATAAAAATAAACAGGCAAATAAAAAGGCACTTTTGAAATTAATGTCAAAAGTGCCTTTACACGGGGCTTAAAATGATTTGATTTGATATTTTAAACATTTATTATGTATCTTTTGCAAACAGCACCATTCCTAGTTCAGCTTCAAATAGAAATAACAAATCATTGACATAAACTAAAAAGAGAAACGGACTCAATACCGAACCCTGCGGAACGCCGATTTACATCTCAAAAGCAATATAAGTTAGAACAGTTTACATGAATCATTAGTTGCCGATTCTTTATATATGTGATTTACAAACGGGCCGCAGTGTGTCTAATCCTGGATAGATCTAATTTCAGTAAGCGTTTCATGATCAATGCAATCAAACGCTTTTGAGAAGTCGCAAAAGACACCAACAACATCCTATACTTCTTCCCAAGCACCGAATATTTCCTTCATTAAAGTGACATCGACGTCAGTTGTACACCTTTAATAAACCCGTATTATTGGTGATGAGAGATGAAATGGTTTTCTTGCTTGAAGCTAGCAGTGATTTCAGAAAAATAAATAGATATCTATTATTATAGATGTACCAAAAACATCGTGCGACTGTTTGCGAAATCTACCAAAACCTTTGGAAAATGTTGTGACTTAAATAAGAAATAAAGAACAAAACTAGAGAACTCACCATCCATGCATGATTAAAGTTCTTATCACAAATACTACAACTGTGGTTTGGCAGAATTGTAGGTATGTGTTTAGCGCGTGTATGTTTGTTCAGCGTGGACTGGTAGCTGAACTGCTCGCCGCATACCTTGCACTTGTATTGCCGAAGAGATGGCTCGTGAGTTGCTGGAGACATAAGCAAAAACACTAAGATTAATATAATACTATTCATACTCATTTTCTTAAGAGATCAACAAGAAAAACATCCAAAGAGCTGTTTTTTATTTAAACCTCCCTTATGGCTCAAAACTAGTCGAACAGGCTCGAAAAACACTAACAGTTTTATCCTCTAAAATAATCTAATTTAATAAAATATAAATGGCCACATACCTATATGAGACTTGTAGTTATTCTTCCTTTTGAACACTTTATTACATGTCCGACATATATACAACACTCTTTTCCTAGCTTTCAATACCCGTTGCTTCTTACTAGCATCTTCAGTGGAACCAATAGCATCTTCTTTTGAAACTGCTGTATGGACCGCAGAATCACCATCTACCTTATGCTCTTTAGCCTCAACCTTCATAAAGACTTCCAAATTATTACTATTATTACCTTCAGGTACATTTTCTTTCTTATCAACTAATTCAACGCCTATGTTCAACATATCAGTAAGTTGTTCAGCATCAATTTCACTATTTAAACTTATTATAAATGTATCATCATCTTCAGTAGAAATATACTGTACACTATTTTCACCAATCAATTGGTTTAAATTAGCTGCTAAATTAGTACTAGCTTCTAAATCGACATCGCTTTCAAATATCGTAGCGCATTCATCAACTGCAACGTGGTTTGTAGGAAATTCGGTTGCCTTTTCAACGGGTTTCACAACTTCAGGTGGATTTAATAATTCTTCAGGTAAATATTCAGCTTTGACATGGAATAAATTGTTCATAATATCTTGATCGTTGGTTTTATTAGTATCAGTGTAGTCGAAAAGAATTTCTGTGTTCTTGTCAGTACCATAGTCTATCTCGTTATTGTTATTAAACATATGGCTTGGTTGTATGCTGTCAAAATCCATATCATTGTAGAAGAGTTCTCCATCCAATATGTGTAATTGGTTCATTTCATCTAAAAGTTCTATTTGCATTAAATTCTCTGTGTTAGTGTCTATATCGTTTGTGTTATAAACGTTTAGTATTTCGTTCTGTGTAGACATTGTCATGTAATCGTCTTCAGCGGACAGAATGTCGTCTACGATATTGTCTACAATTCGATTTGTATCATTTAAGGTTTTATCTTCTTTCTCCGGTTCTGGTGGTTTCGATGTTGAGATTGTGTGTTGCCTGGTGGGAGAGAGAGAATTTATGACTACTTAAATGATAAAAAAGGACTTATTTACTCTGTTACAAGATAACCAATTACTGTCAATAAAGTTTATTAACTTCAAACTACGTGAGAATACCTATGGAATAATAATAACATAAATTAAAAAAACTCAATAGCACAAAAATCTACTCTTTGTTAAATAAACTTTTGTATCTAGAAATCAAACTGTGCCGTCTCTCTTAAAATAACTAAATTCAAAATCTCTGAATCAAATAACAAACAATCTATCGAATTAAATATTTTAGATTGATATTAGTGATTAATTCCAGCAAGAATACAATAATAAAGACAATAAACAAGAATACATTATTATTATTACCTAACACAATGTTCCAACAAAGCGCTTTTGTACTGGAAGCTCATGCCGCAGACGCGGCAGTAGTTCTTGCGAGCGCCCTTATCTATAGGCTGGGCGGTCGACATGTACAACACACAGTTCTGAGTGTGTCGGTTTAAGGAAGCCACCTGTAAATAAAAAAAGGTCATTTCCTGAATTAATCATGGAAGAAAAGAGTCTAGACTCAAATTACTGAAGAAATTTTTGAATGTAATCGCAGTTTAGTCTAAAATGAAGAACTACGTAGTACAAACATCTATGCTTCTTTTTTGGATATAGATTCTTTGGATAACGAGCATGCGGATCGCCTGATATTCATCATCCAGGAGTTACAAGCGCGTTTCGGGCCCCATGGTGAATAGAGGTTTCGTTTGTTTTAAAAAATAAATACTTTTTAACTGTCTGAATTGAGGTTGGCAGGGGATTGGGCCTCCAGTAACCTTACACATACAGCAAAACATTACCCAAGGTGTCTTTCAAGCCAATTTTCAGTGAGGCCCTTGTATCATTCCCGTTGAGATGGCCCATTCCTGACAAAGCACGGCTGTCCCGCACTTGAGACAGTTTTACCATGCCAGTCTCTTAAAGCTGATATTGCTGAATACGTAAATACCTGTTTGAACTTGGTCCCGCATCCACTGCAGCAGTAAGGCTGAAAGTTCCCATGTCGCAACATGTGGCGCTTCAAGTTAGACTTGTCCTTGAACCGTTGCTCACACTCCGGACATGAGTATTTGCTTACATCTGTGGATACAATTATGTATTATGTATAGTTTATTATTTGTTTTAGTCCGAATACAAGTCATATTGTAGACTTTACTAATGAGTATAATATTAAAAGAGTGATTCTCGCTTAAGCTCTAAGGTAAAGATTAGTACCAATATTATCAACAGTGAGGCAGGAAGGTCAAAAAAGAAAGTTAGTCAACATAATCTTGATAATGAAATAATAAAAATAGATGCACAGAAGTTGGAACTGCTTTTGAAAAATTCTTTTCCAAAATTCCGGTATCTACTGATCTCATTTCCCACTGTTGTAGAGTCTTTACTCAAGTAACAGGTTGTAGCTTGCGATTCAGGGTTTTCCTTCGAGGTCATAGATAACAAAGACATTTTTATATCCTTTAACATGTACTTTGAATAACAAAAACACTGCAGATCTATGGGGTAATTCTGTATATATTACAAGCTCTGTAATAAAAGAGCTTGGTAGTGATGGCTAATACAAATGGTACAATAGTTATCACCTGTATTCATTCAAATCTTGGATAACTACATATATTGACCATAGTGTGTTTCCTTATCTTATGAACAGTAGTAAAATAATTCCGTTATTTAAATCAGGTAGAACTTCTGATTCCACTTACTTTAGACCTTTTTCAGTGTCTTAACACATTCAGTGCCCCCGATTCAGTGCGTATGTGCGTTTCCTCGCACGCACATACGCGTCGGGGGCACTGAATGTGTTAAGTAAAATTTTTGATAAAATAATTTTAGATCAAATGTAAAGTTTTTTAATAGGAATAAAGTATTACATGCGAAAGAGATCGGATTTCCAAGGGGTCGTTCAACAACTGAGGCCGGTGATGAACTTCTTAATCACGTTTACGACGCCTGGGAGGACTCAAGCGACGCTTTGGCAATATTTTTTGACTTATCTAAGGCGTTCGATTGTGTGCTTCATGATACACTAATCAGGAAGCATTTCCATTACGGAATAAGGGGTACCTCTCTGAACCTTCTTACCTCATACCTGAGTAACAGGGTTTAGAGAGTTGAAGTAAACGGACTGGTGTGGTGGTGCCGGATCTGTCGTGAAGATGGGAGTTCCTCAGGGTTCTATTCTCGGCCCGTTTTTATTTCTAATCTATATAAATGACTTTCCTTGTAAGGGATAACCATGAGATAGTGCTGTTTACTGATGATACTTCACTGTTATTCAAACTCAGACGGCGACAATTAGTTATCGACAATGTAAACAGTGCTCACTCAGAAATAGTTTACTGGTTTGGTGTTAATAAGTTATCACTAAACGAAACTAAAACTAAATGTATTAAATGTACTACACCAAATGCTAAACAGGTAAAAACCAGTGTGCTTGTCAAGGGTGATGAGTTGAGTCCTGTAGATATGTACAACTGTCTTTTTAGGTATAACCTTAGACGCTAAATTCCAGTGGGACCAAATAAAGATGGGTTGAAATTTAACAGATGTAGATAGTTAGCCTATTTAATTTATTTCCATAGCATCATGTCACATGATATTCTGTTGTGGGGGAATGCTGCTAACATTCAATCTAACTTTGTTCAGCAGAAGAGGGCTATTCAATCAATGTATATTCATAGTCCGAGGCAATCTCTCAGGGAATTACTTAAGGAAATGTAAGTCACACTCATAAAAACAAAAACTTATTTAAGGAGTATAGTGATATATATAAAATTAACATGAGGGGGACAAACAAATATGTAGTGCCTGCCTCTAGGCTTCAGAAAATAAGAGGTATATTTAGATGTCAATGTAGCGCTTTTACAATAAAAATCCCAGCAATATTCAAAATTTGAAAATTGGTGCTTATTACGGAACTCCTGTGCATTGATAAATATTATAAATTACCATTCTATAATTGTTAAGCAATATAAGTGAAAAGTTGATGAGATTATCTTACCATTGTGCATGTCCTTGTGTTTTTTTAAATCTGATGGCTTGGCAAATGCTTTCTCACATTGATCACATTTATGTGGCCTGGAAATTAACAGTAACATATTAAGAAAAATTTTTATACAGTACATTAAAAATAATGTGATTTTAGGATACTTCTACTGGCATCAAATAAAAAAACCCTAACAATACTGTTTTTCCCAAGAATCAGAAGAAAAACCCTTAGCTTTTATATTTAAACATATGAAAAAATAATAAATGTCCATACTTATAATCCAGATGTTTAGCAAATAGATGCTGCTGCAGTTTCCAAAGTGCTTCAAATGCCATGTTACAGTGCAGGCACTTCCAATCTCTACCGAGTGGTTTATGAGTGAGCCCATGCTTCATCAACTGTTGTTTTGTTGAAAACTTTTGATCTGGACATTTTTCTGCAAATAAACTCAACACTTTAATTACTGTATTCTTTACACTTAAATCAAAATTCATAGAAAATTAAAATAATTATAAATAAACCATAGTAAACTGATATAATAAAATTAATAATAACAATTGCTTGCAATGGTTGGTGGCAAAAAAACTAAAATATACTGAATAGTAAGAGTACCACAGAGTTTTTTTTTATTTTGTATTGAAACATTAAGCAGTGGAATTAATTTATTCATAAGTATTCATTTTGAATCGCTTTAATATTTCCTACACCAAAATGTCTTTAAACAACTCTTACCACAAACCCACAGATTATCCTTGGAATGAACCCTGAGGTGACCGTAATACTTCTTGGCGTTATCAAACTGCTTCTTACAAATCTCGCAGTGTAGAGTCGTAGGCCCATTCAGGTCGGGTTCCTCCAAAGGCTCGTCACCAGACAAAAACTGGGCCAACACATCATCAGGCCCCAATAAAGATCCGTGAGATGGTAAAGTCGCATGGAGTCCATCATAAGCACCCTCCGGCTTTATTCGCCCAAAAAAGTCTGTAGTCTCCGTATCCGCAAACTAAAAAATATATAATTTTCATTGTAAGCCAATACGTTTGTGATTTGAAGACATGTTTTTTACAAATGTTTTACGGGTTTACTATTATATATACAATCAACACTTACTGGAAGACTAAAAAATGGTAAATTCGAATCCATATTTGATATACATGTGAATTACTGTTTATTTACACATTTATATGATTAAATAAATAGAAATATTGTACAAAATAGGTACAATACTATCTTTTCATAAGACGTTTATTTTGACAATATTGACAAATTGACAATGTGATGTGAAGTTTTTATACATTGAGATAGAAAATATATAGAGGCGCCGTGTTACTATAGAAGTATACGTGCTTATAAAAATATGAGGGAAAAATGAAACAAACTATGAAATATCATTTTTTCTCACTCTTTCTAAGGCAATAATTGTATTAGACAAAAGAGACAACAATATTTAAGTTGTTGCTTAATATGGAAACAAATCATTTTGACATTAGCAAAGTTGTAGGTAAGTGCCATGTCCGCCATCTTAAGCGCTCAGAGTACCTGAGTTTCATGGTAGTTGTCCTGTCAAACGGTTGTTTATGTTTTAAATTATTGCGGTTTTTCAGTAAATTACAAAGAACCATTTTTTTAAACTTCAAACATATATAGTGAAACAAAAAAACAATATGCCTGTGTGTTGTATTGTGCAGTGTGGTACAAAAAAGAACGAAAATCAACCTCAATTGTCTTTGTATAGGTTAGTAAACAGTTTTCATCAAATATTACTTAGAATAATCCACATAGATAGAAAAGAATGTCACGGATACTTTAATCTATTGCCAAAGTATATATATTTACTTTTATTTCTGTCTGTGAGACAGTTTTAGTAAAAAATTGTTGTTTACAATAATATGTCAATTTGGCATAGTTACGTACCATTTCACAAAAGTATCGATATAATCTCCCATTTAAAATTCAACATATATTATACTAAATAATCTATTTTAACAATGGATGTTTCCGCAGTTTTGTGTAACGCTAAAGTAAGACGTCAGTATTTTGGTATTGGTTTTAGTTACATAAGTAGAAGTTCAAATTATCATGTTTTATAATTATACGGGCGCGATTGACAGAGCGGCGTTGGCGACGATCCCAGTGCGACCAACAAGCGTAATAATAAAAAGTGATAATAATAAAAAAGATACATACAATAAGATTGACTTCACTACATATCTATTTTGTGCTAACGTAGTTTCGAAGATATCATCGCTTAATCAGACGCGCCGAAATTGTGCGCGAGCACTTCACAAATACCCACAGGTTTTCCACATATATAAAGATAAACATTTAACAAACACTATCTTTTTCTATTTCACCATTCCATTAAACGCTGTTCATAAACACAGTCCTATTTTTTTAAAAGACGCTTTACGTAGAATTATATGAATACAAATTCGACTTGAGAAAATCATTAGCCAATCAAGAGACCAAGTTAACCCCGGGTTCCGGTTTCTAGCTAGGCTGACGGCAAAGTAGTAACAGGAGTTGATTTTAGTCAGTAACGGTCTGTCCCGAAAAAGGCCGGAGATGACATTAGATGATTTCCCATAAAAAATACCGTTAATCAGCTGGCTAATCCCTAAAACTATACCTACGTAGAACTTTTACTCAAATTATATCGATACTCGTTAAATACTTAGTCGGCACAACCCTAGCAACGGCAGCCATCTTATGCGACATTTTGGATTGTAGGTAAGCACCTTCTTTTCGTAGGTATTTCAAGTCCATATATTTCCTATGTCAATGTTTTTATAATAGTTACGTGAAGTGCACAGATTACTATAAACTTTAAGTGGAGCTAGATTGTCTGTGGTGCTAATTCTTTAGTCGATTTTGTTTTTTGTACAAACACTAATCTGGTTTTTGTTTCATTAAACGTCAATTTATTTTAGAGAGCATTAAAACTATAATGGGTCTATAATTTTCTATTATTTTAATACTTTTTGATTATGAGTGACTTTTTTAAAGTCCCGCAATCCCGTTTTGAACATTACATGTCGTTCCTCTATTCCCATCTGTCTGACGTGACAGAAGTTCAATTTTTTTGTTTTGGGATGTCAAATTAAAATCAGCTGATCGGAAACTAATTAGGTATTCAAATGTTCAAAATAAAAGGGTATGTTTTTGATGTAGTACTTAACATGCCTTACACACAAATAGAACAAAATATATTTTTATACACTCAGTACTGAAGTCTCAAACTTAGTTTTCAGTGTACCTATGGAATGTTGAAATATTTACACACCGCACAAACAATCTCACTTACCTAGCCAAAAGTTTATTGTACCTTGCTCTGTAGATATTCCAATAGAAATACTGATAACATTTTAGTAAACTTTGATAAGATTTATCACTGTTCGTGTGCAAAATAATTAGTTGAGTCCAGAGTAGGTGAGTTGTACATCAACTAATTTAATTATCTTTGTTTTACAGAAGTATAGACACAAAATTTTCAGCATATGTACCTACTTATTGAATAATTAATATTTTTTAATGACTAACAGAATTATGTTGTATACAAAATTAAAACTATTTCTCAATTATACTTTGTGGACCTAAAAAATATAAATATAAAAAAACTTTTAAAAATAAAATAATTACATACGTATCTTTTATTTTTTTTAGGTATTTTTAGATACGAAAAATGTGCATCCTGTTCATATACAATGGTAATAATGACTCAAGGAGCGATTATAGTTTGATCCTGGCATCGAACAGGGATGAGTATTATGACAGGCCCTCAAAAAACATGGGCCCATGGATCGAGGACCCTAACGTGTTTGGAGGTGGATATTTTATAATACCATCATTTCTCATCTCGTTTTCACCAAAATATCACATGTAGGTATCAATCAAAATATAACACAGTCATCATTATTTGTCTTAGTCATTTTTTTTTCTTATCTTGATTGTCTAAAATGTTTTACGCTCCTTTTTTTTCTTATCTTGATTGTCTAAAATGTTTTACGCTCCTTTTTAACCGACTTCAAAAAAGGAGGAGGAGGTTCTCAATTCGACGAGTATTTTTTTTTTTATGTATGTACACCGATTACTCCAAGACTCCCGGACCGATTTGCAAAATTCTTTTTTTATTCGATAGGGTATACTTGCCATTTGGTCCCATTGTCATGAGGTCAGGATCTGATGATGGAATCCTGGAGAAACCGAGGGGAACTTTCGAAAATTGTAGGGGCGAGTAGGTTTTTTGTATGATGTTTAAGTAGGCCTTTAACAACACTACAACTTGACGAAGGTCGAAGTCGACCAGATGTTGGAGCTGGAAGACAGTCGAGGGATCTCCTTGACTATTTGGAGTAATTGCCTTGTGTTTGGGCTTGAATGATTCGTATTGGCGAGCACTTTGGAGCAGGCTTGGTCGTAACTGTCATTAAGGGTCTGATGATGAGAACGAAGGACAGCTCAGGGAACTCCTGAACGGTTTACAGTAACTACTTCGCGTTTGAACTAAATTCATTTATATTGATGAAAACTTTGTACCTGTAGGTATGTATCATAACAACTGAAGGTAGAGTTTACCTGATGATGGAGACAATGACCGTCGAGGGAATTCCGAATGGAAACGAGAGACAGTCGAGAGAACTCCTCAACGATTCATAGCAGCTTCCTTGTGTTTGAGCTTAATTTATTCGTTTTGATGAGAACTTTACACCTTGATGGATTGTGACTGTCATTAGGGATCTGATGATGAAGACGAACGACAGTCTAGGGAACTCCTCAACGGTTTACAGGAGCTACCTCGTGTTTGGACTTAATTTATTTATATTGTTAAGAACTTTCCCTCTTCTAGAGAGATAGCCTGTGTCCCAGTAGTGGGAACATTAAAATGGCTTATGATGATGATGATGAGAACTTTCCCATTTCATGGGATCTATATTTTTTAATCGGGCGGCTCCTTTCGTTGGCCTACACATAGCTACTTAAAAATATATACTATTCAATATGTTAATTTATATTTAAAATATTACTGTAGTTTACAGAAGAACTTGCAACAGACACTAATAAGAAAAAAATAAAAAAACTACGTTTAAAAAAACCGACTTCAAAAACAAAAAAGTGTCAAATAAGTAATTAAAATTGATATTTTAATAGCACTCCTACGTACGCGAAGCTAATACTTTTAATATTAATAATAAAACACTATCAATTCTATGTGCTACCTATTCATAGGTTTGAAGTCGGTGCCAAGCCCTAAACAGAATAAAACTAAATGAGAATTAAGACTGTTTAACTGCTAAAATACGAAATTTCCACAACTAACAACGCAGCCACCTACTACTACTTTTAACAACCAAATACGAGAAAACTTTCAGAATTCATAATTCATCCAAATATCTTTCTAAGCCATATACAGTTTCGCCGGTAACGAAACCATATAGACTTCTGATTCTACGCTAACGCCATCAAGTTAAAAGTATTAGCATCGCGTACGTAGGAGTGCTATTAAAATATCAATTTTAATTACTTATTTGACACTTTTTTGTTTTTGAAGTCGGTTTTTTTAAACGTAGTTTTTTTATTTATCATAAGGTTCAAGAAAATAAAAAATATCATTTAGTTGTTTGTTAGATTTACTTGTAGGAGCTTAAAAACGACTGCAGCGCCACCATGAAATAATTATTTTTGCTTCTTTTTTCATTCAAATCACATTATCACATTTAAGGAATAATAAGTAAAAATAAAAAAAAAAATCTTTGTTCCTAGGTCGCGATTTAGAAGTGGATGAAGGTGGCACCTGGCTAGCTTTAGCACCTTTGCGTAAAAAACTTGGCGTACTTCTAAACTTACCGACTGCTAAGAAGCCAGAAGCGAAAAGTAAGTGATATGATTAAAATTTTGTTTGGTTAGCTACACGAAAAAGCCAGTGAGAGAGACCTGCGACAGTGGACCCCCACTTGGCAACGATTATGAGAATGATAATGATGATAGCAAGCAAGAACTTTGAAACTTCAGGACTGACATTTTTAAGCATTTCCTCTCGATACGATTTCGTTCTTTGTCCGGGGAACCTTTACAAACATAATACACAACAAAGCAGTCCTGGAATAGGAATCACATAAAAAATCGTTCCCTGCCGGATACAACGTGCAGTCAATTTGTTTCGATTATTAAATAATGTTAACAACATTTTACGAAATAATTTATTCTACGTAGGTATAAAGACGTCAATAAGTTCACGTAATGCTTTAACCTTCTCCAAGTGAGAAGAGGCCTTTGCTCAGTAGTGGGCACTTATAGGCTGATGATGATGAAGTGCGCGTCAGACGCTAATGAATGGAAATGAATAAAATATTATGATACAGATTCGAGTTTTTTTTTCTACAGGCAGAGGAAGGATCGTAGCGGACTTCGTAAAGAATGATAAACCAATGAAAACGTACCTACATTGAACAAATGAAGCCTTACGCTCACAACTGCAATGAATTTGTTTTTGTAGGCATTGAATTTAAGTATGTACCTACCCTTTATTTATTTATTTTATTCAGTCTTACAAAAATCCATTTTGCATGGCCCAGTTATCGAACCTACTGCAACCACTCGAGGGTCATCACTAAATTACCTAATAAGCTTATTTCTTTATATTTTTGTCTGTTAAATAAGTACATAATTATACTTAAAATTTATGTAGGTATATGTACGTAGGTAATCAAATATTTTATTACATTATTGTAAAAACTTATTTCAGGAACGCCCTACCAATAATATCAACATACAACAACGCAAATGATGAACTAATCATCCATAAGGATGCGTTCCTAGGATTCAGCAACAATCTGCCGGAGCAACCGCTGAAGAAAGTGGAGGCTGGACGGAACAAACTGCAGCAGATTATAAGCACTTTTAACAAAGTCTGTATGCAGGATGAACTCATTGAAAGGTTGATTGATCTTCTCAAGTGGGAAGAAAGGTACGTACCACCTAACTAGTAAAAAATGCCAGATGTATTTTAACTTGTAGATGTATATGGCAACCGATAAGCTTAATTAGGCACTTACTAACGGCGTGAAAGACCCACCATGTGAATTTCTCATTAACACTAGAAAGACCAGAGTGGTCAAATGGCCCCAATGAAATTTTTGATCAATCATATTATCAAAACCATATTACTGAACTCATTGTCGTTTTATGACTTTTAATATTTCGTCATTGTTTACATTATTCTAATATGTGTTTACCTATAGCAAGATAAATACTAATTTAAAAAATATCACCTACCTAGAGAGACCGCAGTGGTCATTTGACACCACAGCGTGCTTGCTAGTTACATTTCGTGGAATATACTTGTGTTATGGGTAGTTGAAATAAAATATTTTTTTCTTGTTTTATTCTTGTCAAAACAAAGACATATCATGGCTCGCCATAATAATTATTATGATGCCTCATTATCACCCTTTGCCCTTCAAAAATACTGGAAGTGCCGCAAAATTTACCGGACGATCAATCAGACTGTGAATCGACTGAAGAAGTGAGGCACATTTTGCATTTAGACCCAGAAAGTCAAGAAAGTGATTACAATATTACACAAAATAGTGATTCTTTTAGGGATGGTGATCCCACTCATATTCCGATTCTGATAGTAAGTGTATATTGATGTAAATAAAATAATATTTTTTTACATTGAGATAAAAGGAAACATTTTATTAGCGTTTATTCCACTGTTTCAGATTCAGTAGCTCTCGACTTTACGTATTGCAAAACCTAAGAGGAGGTCGAGGTCCCATATGTTTAGAAAGAAATGAAAGCCGTCGACAAAATCAAAGTTCAGCCGAGTGGGTCGTATTGCGACCAATGGACCCACTGGTTGAAATGTAACTACTGATATTTTTTTCACCAGTGTAAATATGGCAAAAAACCTAATTGTAACACAGGACAAGTGTTTTATAATAATATTTTGGATTTGACTGCAAATGATTCCTGGATTTTGTACAAAAAACTATCGAGAAAAGAATCAGTAGAAAAAAGTTCATTCTTGACTTGGCCAGGGAGTTAGTCGGCCAAGATTCCCACTCCCTGATGACACCATCTACTTCACAGCCTGATAATAGCATACCCGCTTGCAAAAATGCAGAAATAAAACCAACAAATCGTAAAAATCGTATAAATTCATTGTAAGAAGCTTTTGTGTGGCTCTTGTAATGTAAACAATTAAATGTCAAAAATGTGCCTAATATTTTTATGTTTTTATTACGTAATGTATGTTTAATTACTATTTAGTTCTTTTATTTACTATAAGATGTTAATCAATAAAACTTAAAACCATAATACATGAATAAAACATTATAACCCATGAATGGGTCATTTGACCCCACCTGGTCTTTATAGGTAGTTCAAAATTTCGGTCTTCCTAGTGTTAAAGGTGTATAAGTCGAAGGGTGAGTTGTGAAAACTGAGTTGCTACCAGAATGGTATGTTAGAACTGAGAACCGCACAGTAGTGCAATCGCCATCACAAATAAATGATCAAAGGGCTAGCTGATTGATGCGGCATGATTTTTTAACGTTCGACGAAATTCTGAGGATCGTTTTGCGTACCGTAAACATGTGCCGAATAGCGTTAAAAACGCGGTTTTTTTTTTATAAAAATCTTTGCCCTGCACTAGGATTTTCTCCTATAATGTGGGTGCGGTTTCTAACATACAATTTCAAATTTCACATACACATGACACCCAGAGCCGGACGGCTGTAATTACATTGAGCCTCTGCCAAAATTGATTTGATTTTTTTTCTGTAATTTCAGCCACCTTCCCGACCATCAATTGGAAACTAGGCGCCCCAATTTGTACAAGGAGCTCAGCTCCGTATTTGTGTGCATACCTCAGGGACGATATGGAACCAGGTAATTGATACTTTTATATCTTTTTCTAGATGTTTAATAGGTGAGGTGCGCTTACAAACATCACATTAAGTATACCCAAATTAGTCAAAAAAGAGCTCCAGCGAGTCTAAGACGTGCGATTTCACGAACTATGACTAAAACGGCATAAATATGTCTTTAAGGCCATCATGCCAAAACACCACAGACAGGTCCCAGCTCTATTCGGACTTCGGACCCGTCTATAGGGGCCCGATGTTCAGCTGAAGTTGTGGGGCAAGCGCAATAAGATACCACGGCCTCAGCCTGGAACTGGAGAAAAACCTTAGGTGGTTTAATGAGTAATAGTCAGCCTGGGCGAAAGGACATTCGATGATTTTCCTCTCACATAAAAGCCTCCTTTCTATATCTTTTTACTGTTGCAGTAAATTTTGAACTCGAAGTGATTATACAAACACTAGATACAGTTTTATAAATTATATTTCTTTCAGAACCCACACAATAGTGCTGGTTACAAAATCCGGACATATGAATGTCATTGAGATGACGCTGGTCGCGCCAATTGACCCAGAAAACCCCAAGTGGATTAAAACTGAATACCAATTTGATATGGATATGAAATAAAAAAATGTATTTTGTTGACTGAATAAAGTTATTTTTATTCATATAATTTTAACTCTTTAACCTTTAGTCTAAAAAATATAGATAAATTATACCTATTATGTAGGATTTTAAAAGGTATCCTGGAATGATGTAGGTTATATTTTTGGCATCCCAGAACACCTAATAAAATTTTTTTGTTTCCTTCCAGTTATAATTTATAATTATTTCATTCTTCTGTGCGAAGGTACCTCTCAATCTTAATAAAGTTAGGTACTGCAAATGTTGCATCATGCTCCAAGGCACAGCCCAAAAGCTTGGGAACATTCAACACTGTACCAGAAACGAGACAGGGAAATTTGTTTTCCTTATTTTCTAAATACGTAATCATCAATCGCTTGCTAATGAAATCTCCACTTAAAGACACATTGCCCACCTCAACATAATCTTCCAATGATGTAGAATACATTTCAATAGAGACCCTCAGAGACTCCCACATCTCTAATTTGTCAGCTGACACCAAACTCAAACGGAAATGATAACCAAGTTTACTGTATGCAAGCTTCAAAATATCAATAAGCTCTTCTAAAAGTTTGTCTTGGTCTTGCTCTGTTTTTGTCGCTCCAAATATCTCAACCACAGATGATTGACTGACATGGAATAGACTGTCTTCTTTAGAAGGTGCTGGTACATACTGCCTGCCCATTGTGAAGTATTTTAGTGGCAGAACTTTAGAATACATAACATTCTTTGCATGGTAAGCTAGGAAGGCTGGTAGTGACCCACCACCAGTGAGATGCAAGCGACTGTCTACATTCACCTTGGTATCCTCATTATGATGTAAAATAAAGCTTAAATCTGGATTTGTGTGATCTTTGCCACAGCCCTCAATAATTAAACTCTTGACAAAATCTGGATTTGAAAACTGTACAAACTTACTATCTCTCAATATTTTACTGAAGTAGAATTTAGCTCCAAGTTCAAACATCGCACCGGCCCCGACTAAGTAATAATTTTCATTCTTTTTAAAATCTATAATATTTAACTCTTTGCCAACTTCTAAGTGGTGTTTAAACTTGTCTGGTTTTGAAAGGTGTGTGTATAGGATTTGATTACTTCCATCAGGAGTCTGGGAATGTAAATCATTTGGTATTTTCAGAACTTCCACAATTGCAGCTTCTTCAGCTGACCAGAGAGGAACTTTTAATTTCTTTATATTTTCTTTGATGAGATCACTTTGCATTTTGAGTTTTTTTGTGGTTTCACCGTCAGGCTCATTCTTTATTAGCTTGCCTAGTTCCCTTGATATTTCATCTTTCTTCTTAATGTACTCTGCTTTTTTTGCATTAAGACTTTCATACATTTTCCAAAGGTTATCCACTTTAACCAGGTCAATATCAGCCTTCCTTCTCTGAAGAACTTTTAAGAAAGCATCTTTCTGTTGATATTTTTCAGGGAAGTCAATATGTGGAGTTATGTAAACATAATTTTCAGTAGCTTTAGCACCACTTACAAACAGGGCAGAGCACCTCTTCTGTGAGATTTTACAGTCCCATGCCTTTCTAAATATATTTGTGAAAGTTTTACGCATCATTTTCGTTTAGTTTGGTCTTTTTACTGGGTGTAGCGTCCTCTATAACTGCATCACCGTCTTCGTCTGATTTTGCAACGTTTTGACCAACTATTTTTCTTTTACTTGGCTGTTTGAAGTTACCGTGACCCGCGGCACGTTCAGACTCTTCAATAGTATAAGGTTCTAGTTCTAAAGCTTTCAACCTTCGCTTATGGACTTTAGTTTTAAAATGATCGTTCAAAGATTGCTCGTTGATGAAATACCTCGCACAATGTAAACAATAATGTTGTGCTGCACCCGGCAAGTCCAAATCCACGTTCTGATTTAATAGCTTTTCGGCGTTTTCTGAAAAACAAAATAACTGGTATTAAGTCAAACGTCAAGATTCTGAAAATATTTATTTATTGTGCAATTTAGTATCGTATGTTCGTAATAGAAAAACTTACTGTTGTTAAAAATTCTTTATTCAATCAATTAGTTAATATAACCGTATTATTAATAAATATCATATAAAAACTTTACACAGACACTTCTGCACAAAATGATAACCTCAAAATCTGACATAAAACCATGTGACAGTATCAAAAGCGTAAACAAACCTTACCTTCTTTGATATCTTCATCAATTTGATCTAGGTCCTTCTTTCTATTCCTTACTCTCCACCTTTTCTTCAGGTGGGTGTCACCGTGGTGATACTTTTTTCGTTTATATGTCATTTTAGTTACAAAATATCGACTTACACAAAATGAGTTTGTGTGAAATATAATTTGCGTCTATGCACGTGTAAATATCAATGTGTGACTGTCGTAAATGTCGTTGTCAAAGTGACAATAGTTTTACGTTTAGAAACCACAAATTCAATCAATCATAACCACAAATCGTAACATCTGAGGACTTGCTTGAAAATAATCTAAATTGACCAAGCCAAGTTTATATAGGTATTGTGTGTAATATACATGTTTACCTCTCATACGAGCACGTTTGTTTAGGTGCTCCATTTCGTCCTCTACAAAATAATAATTCACCCAGGATTCTCTTGAGCCAAAAATTTACTGTCCCTCCAAATACTAAAATTTTATTAACAACAATATTACATTTTCCCACTGATAATAAAATTCATACTTAACGATACTTCTCTAACGTTAATTTTGTACGAAATTGCAATATTTGACTTCATATTATTTTTAAACTACAAAATAAGTCTCAACCGAGCGTCGAACCCAACCGCAGTTTCAGTGTCACATGTATGAGTTTTATCTTTATAGGTACAGCTCGGTTTTGTTTTGTTTTCAGCTGGACTTTGCCACTCTTTCGGACTGAGTTGACCCCTAAGGAAGTTAGAATAAAGCTGTATCCTTTCAAAGCTATTTTATTCATAATGAGAATAATATGATCTTGTGTCACTATCTAATTCCATGTTGATAAATTCTTTGGTTTTTTTATGGAATAGGAGGCAAACGAGCAGACCGATCACCTGATGGTAAGCGATCGGCGCCGCCCATGGACACCTGCAACACCAGATGAGTCACAGGTGCTTTGCCGGCCTTTTTAGTACGCTCGTTTCTTGAAGGTCGTATCGGTTCGGGAATACCGCCGCCGGAAGATAATTCCAAAGCTTTGCTGTGCGGGGCAGAAATTACGCGAAAATCGCACAGTTGTTTACTGCCAACCATCTATGCGATGGGGATGAACATTTTTTCGCGTGGTACGATAGCGAAAAGATGCGGCGGGAATCACACCGAACAATTCAAAAGTCCCCGTGATAAAGGCGATAGAGAATACATAGCGAGGCTACATCCCTACGCAGTGCCAAAGAGTCTGCAGCCGATCCGACACAACAGGGCAGTCAACGATTCGAACAGCTCGTCTCTGAATGCGGTCCAGAGGGAGAAGCTGGTACTGGGGTGCCCCCGCCCAAAGATTTGGTTAGGGTATCAAGGTTAGAGAAATCAAATCCAATTTTAATTTATTCATATAATATAATCTTACAATAATAAATTTCAGGGAAACAGTATCATACATGAATAAATACAATGCTAGTAAACAATGAACTTTCTTTCTGTATTTTAAGTTAATAAAATTTATTTTATTTAGAAAGAAAGTGTAAACGAATCAACAATGTTACATTTGATACATGACCGTACCGAATTATATTGATAAAATGATAGGAATGATTTGAATGAATCATTTAACATCAATGATTATATTTTGCAACTCGCAACCGTAGAAACGGCGAAACAGTGAGTCGGCGATGGTTATCGTTGACTCGGGCACCGCTAATAACATAAAAATACTCTACGGATGATGTGTCACCGGTCACAGGACTTAATTATCTAGTGAAGGCATCAATAATGTCTTATCGACAACGCAAAGAGAAGCATCACGCGTGTACTCGAAACTCACACGTTCAAACATTACACAGAATAACACCATACCACTAATTCCGCCTAAACTAAATCTAAACGTATCTAGAAAATATTTCATTTACCGTTGAACAACACGGAAATAATGCTCTTTTATTTTTAATCAGATAATTTCAACTGGCTCATAATATGAATCAAACTCATTATATACATATAACAATATTACTATAGACTGATTTTGCAGTATCTGTTACTCCAATCAATTTATTGCACGGTGTATAATCAGAATGTGGTGAAACAATGTCAGTCTACGCATAGATTCTAAATCTCTCAATTTTCCGCAATAATTAAAAATGTGATTCTCATTATAACTGTTGATTAGTAACAAAAAATAAAAAAAATAATGATAAAGATATTTATACTAATTTCTAATTTCAATTGTAATTTTTCGAATATTATTATTTTTAATAAATTTAATTATCTGTGGTGTCGTATCCACTATGTACATATACGTATATTACATGTCGTATGCACCTAGTGGTGGTATGGTTGGCAACACGTCAGACGTGCACGACCGACTGTATTTGCATTATCTAGGTGACGAGGTGTATGGTCGGTTGTGTCCTTCCAACGTGTATAAGCCCCACATGACACACTACTCTTGGTCTCTAATTCTGTGACAACAGCCAACTACTCCAAAGTACACCAAGTATTTTACAATATTACTTTAACTAATTTTTAGATACTCATAGGAATGTAACGAGTAAACAGATTAGAGTATTTGACATAGAGAATAGAATTGCATAATTACGATCAACGTAAAGAGAATGTCTTTATAAATAACTAGCTAATGTATGACAGTGTTTGTATAGAATCAATAACATCAAAGCTACAACTCGTTGCTCGTTACATCCCTACAGAATAGGTACATGATTGCTGAACATTTAATATTCGATTATTAATCGCGTTAACATATATTAATGTTTAAGTGACCGCTCTAAACAAAGTTAATATTAATCGCAAGCGACAATTTCCATGATATCTATATAACTCTCATACACGATTAAAAAATAAAGCACTTTGTTGTAATGAGAGCTATGTAGCAATCAAATATATTAATATAATTTGTACAGGCTAACAATAATCCTCTGACGTATCGGCCCGACGGCTAAACTACGCGTAACTTTTTATAATTTATTACTCTATGCACTTTCGACCGTCATCATAATACTTTTTTACATGGGACGCAAAGGAAACACTATAACGTTAGGCCTCGGCGTATAGAAAAATAACCCGCACTTTGAGTAGAAAACTTAGGCTAGTTCATAAGTCCTACGCGAAGCCGGCAGGGGGCGGTCGCGAGCGCATAGAGGATGCGGCGGCTTACATACGGCGAGCTACGTTGTACCGCCCAGACATGCGCCTACACTCACACGACGGCACTGCGCCGGGCGCGACACACGTGGGGACAAATCAAGTGACTACACGGTTCGTGTCGTAATTACTGTGGCTGTAGGAAGACATCGTTTGTCATCGGAGAATATCAACATCGCGACAAACGATAAGGTTCCAAGTTACGACTATTTATGGTAAGTTTAGCTGTAGACACTTCATTTGTGTTAGGGCACAAGTGTCGCAGGTAGTCGTGTAGAGGTCGCTCGGCGCCAGCTCAGTAGTGTGGGAGCCCCCAGCCGCGAGGGGCGCCGGCGCCCTACATGCCGTAGCCGTGGTAGGGCGCCGGGGACGGAGCCTGCGCCGCGTACGCGTACGGGGAGGCCTGCGCTGCTACTCCCGCGTAGGGCATCGAAGGACCTGAGTAAAAAGGAGTAGATAAGTAAACATGCAAAAATGCAATCAATTTTCTTCGTTATTCCTAGTTACTTAGAGTGGATAAATAAAGTCTGTTTACATTTTTTCTAGTATTACTCTTCCATTCCACCATACACTATTGGACAACTTATCTTTATGTTGCTGCCAAAAATTCAGCAGCGAAACTGACTACTTTTTTAATGCTAAGAGTACATGGCATAACATGTAAGTAATGATTAGAGGAGCATAGAGGGGTGCGACATACCGGCAGTAAGCATGAGCTGTGGTTCCATGATCATGGCAGGCTTGGCCTCGTGCTCGGCGCTCTCGGTGCTGCGCTTGGCGTCCGCTTCCTCCAACTTCTCCACCTTCGTTGTTAGCTCGCGGACAGTCTGCAAGGGAGGGCAAATTTAATAAGATATATTTTTCTTTCAAACTAACACTTTCTGGATTACAGTATGATTGTTCTGTAAAAGAGTAGAACACCATAAACCGGACAGTCGGTCACTAGCTGAGCTAGATTTTAAAGCTTCGAAATATACATTTGTGTATTAAATTCAAATTCTGTAGATCAACAATTAACAATGTAGAGCGATTTCTGATGACCTGGTCACTTGGTATCAATTTGTTTTCACCAGATTCGTTGATTGTCACTTAAATATATTTAATTATTATGTTACCTGGATAAGGAAGGGCATGGCGAAGTCCATGATGTTATGTCTCCACGCCAACTCGATGACCACGTCGGGTTTCAACAGATCGTAGCACTAGAGAAAATAATCACGACGAATTAATAATGAGAAAAGAAAGAAAATATAAATCAATATATACTTAATTACTTACTTATTAAAACGAAAATTACTTTTTTTAGAGATTAGAGAATGAATTATTTCGATTATTGTTATTTCAATTTAGTATAAAGTAGTATTTACTACAGGTCGCTAACACACTTTAATTGGGTCTTTGTCGAAAATGGTTATTTTATTTTTGTATATTGTACTGTTGGCGTTTACCTGGTACAAGCAGGCAGAGAAGCACTCATAGTTATCTCTCTCAAGGAACCAGTTGAGCAGTTCCTCGGCGACTTCAGCGGAGCGGGATTCGGACGCGTACTCCATGGCGTCCGCGTACAGAGCGTCCTTCTTGCATAGTTCCACGCTCTGCTTCCATCTGTTGTTACCTGGAAACATAAATATTAACGGTAAAACGGGGTGAATGGACACAGAAGAGGGGTGAATAAATACTAGGAAAACTAGCCAACATGTATTCACCCCATTTTAAGGTATGCTATGACTAACTTCTGACTACCAAAGCAAAGTTCTATTTCGTGAAAGATACAAACAATGAACTTTTTGTAATATGGATAATAAAATCTTTTTAAAATTTGGCCTCTATCACGCCTAGTGATTAACCTAAGATGGAGCAAGCCTACCAATCAACGATTTATACACGCGGGCCTAGAAGACTCCCAGGGGAACACAGACTCCGGCTAAGAAATCCACCCCTTAGCAGTTCTGATTATAAAACTGGATTCGATTTCAATTCCTTATCGATGTTGTGAACAAGGTTTGAAAAAAATATAAATGTATACCTTTGTATAGGTAGGCGGCGATTCTTCTG